ATAAGCAGCATGGATCCCCCTGCTCCCCGAGTTTTGAGGGAGAATCCTCCTGGCAGAGCAGAACTTCTCGTTCTTGGACATAGAAAGTGTGTTTGTAGGCACTGAACCTCCCTTTACTTTTGTTTTTCCAGCTTTTGTAATATAAGCAGAATTGTTTCATATCTGCTAATAGAAAACCAGTTATTTGACAGCCTGTATTTTTCTACATTTAGTAACTAGCATTTACACAGTAGACTTTCTTGTATAACAGCATATTCTTTACCCATGGTAATTAAAACCATCTTGAACAGATGTAGTTACAGTTAAGTATGGATTCTGTGCTTTAGTTGATGTTAGCTTATTGTGCATTTTGTTTATAAAACTAATGTCTTTTGACAATGGATTCTTACAAGTTACTATTTTTCAGTTTCTTTTTTTAAAGAAACCTATGCAATGAATTAGATTAAAAAAAAAAACTGTAGCAAACCCTGTTTAGAAATTGCTGCCATTAGTCAAGCACTAATATAGAGATTGACTTTTATCAATATACTTGCCAGTGTCAAGAAAATTTTGGACATATGTTACTTACACTGTAAGCAAATTCTTATGAACTCTTAAGTTGCTTGAAAATGCTGTTCGGTACAAGAGTGTAAAAGTGAGCTACACAAAATAAATATTTTATTACTGTTTTGGGGGAACATTCTTTTTTTTACAATTATAAAATATCAATTTATTATATTTTAGTTGGATTAATTAATCATATTTCTTTTTTTTTGAATTCTGAAGATTTTTTAAAATTTTTATTAATGAGACACCATGAGGTACAGTTGTAGACTTACAAATTTTGTGCTTGGGTTTCAGTTATACAATGATCAAATACCCATCCCTCCACCAGTGCCCATTTCCCACCACCACGGATCCTAGTATCCCTCCTGCCCCCATCCCCCCCATCCTACCCTGCCTCTGTGACAGAGCATTCCCCTCTGTTCTCTCTCTCCTTTTGGGTGCTGTGGTTTGCAAAAGAGGTACTGAGTGGCAATCATGTTTGGTCTATAGTCTACTTTTCAGCATGCTTCTCCCATCCTGGGAGGATCCTCCCAACACCCTTTATTTGGTGCTCCCTTCTCTATCTGAGCTGCCTTTTCCCCTAGCATGTGTGGCTGGCCTCCAAGCCATGGAGCAAAATTCCTGGTACTAATCTCGGCCATTCTTGGGTGTTAGTCTCCTATTTTGTTACTTTTTGTTCCCCAGATGAATGCAATCTTTCTGTGTTCTATCCCTCTCTTTCTGACTCATTTTGCTTAACATAATACTTTCCATGTAGTACCACTTGTATGTAAATTTCATGACTTCATCTTTTCTAACAGCTACATAGTACTCCATTGTGTAAATGTACTAGTTTCTTTAACCAGTCATCTGTTCTCAGGCACTCAGGTTTTTTCCAGATTCTGGCTATTGTAAAGAGTGCTGCAATAAACAAACAAGTGCAGATGTCACTTCGACTATACATTTTTGCTTCTCTGGGATAATATTCCCAGGAGTGGTATTGCTGTGTCAAATGGGATCTCAAGTTCTGATTTTTTGAGAATCGTCCATACTGTTTTCCAAAAGTCCCTTTCTCGCCACATCCACGCCAGCACCAGTTGCTTTTGTTCTTTTGGGTGTGGGCCAATCCCTGTGGTGTGAAATGATATCTCATTGTGGTTTTGATCTGCATCTCCCTGATAATTAATGATGTGGAGCATTTTCTCATGTGCCTTTTAGCCATTCGGATTTCTTCTTTGAGAAAGTTTCTGTTCATTTCCTCGCCCCATTTTTTAATGGGGTTGGATGTTTTCTTCTTGTGGAGTTCAACCAGTACTTTGTATATGGAGGGACATTCTTACTATGTAAAAATTCTGTACCATGACCCCAGAAATAAGAAAAACAACAAGAAGGTGTTTATAATCCTTTCTGTGTATTAATTTTACTATTTTTCAAGAAGTTATACAATTAATTGTTCTACTGGGTTGGAGCAATAGCATAGTGGATAGGGCATTTGCCTTGGATGCGACTGACCCAGTTCGATTCCTCCGTCCCTCTCGGAGAGCCCAGTTGGCTACCGAGAGTATCCTGCCTGCATGAAGAGTCTGGCAAGCTCCCTGTTGCATATTCGATATTCCAAAAACAAACAACAAGTCTTAAAATGGAGATGTTACCCGCTCGAGCAAATCGATGAACAACAGGAGGACAGTGCTACAGTGCTACTCTTCAAGAAGTAGACCCTAACCCTGAAAGAGCCTCCAATACGGCAGCATTGGGATAGACGAGTAGGGAGAGGCAGCTAAAATCTCAGGACTGGGACAAATGAAGATATTACTGGCATCCACTCGAGCAAATCAATGAACAATGGGATGACAGTGATACAGTGACTCTTCAAAAAGGGATACATGGCATATCAGCATGTGAAAAGATGTTCAGCATCATTATTCATTAGGAAATGAAAATCAAAACCAGTACCAGTACTAGTAAAATCAAAACCAGTACCTCTTCACACCTATCCTCATGATCACAGGGAGAACTAGCGGCAATGCCAGTGCTAATGTCGGCAGGTTGAAGAGTAACTGAAGCTCTGGTGGCAGAGTCTGTCCAAGCCAAGCACTCACCTCCCTTGCAATCCAGCTGTCACTTTCCCACTCAGATGAAACTTATTTTCATACAAAAATGCATACATGTGTGCTTGTAGCAGATTTTGCTGTAATAGCTAAAACTTGAAAGTACTCAGCAAATGAAGGGGGTTTGCTGTGCTACCTCCTTACCACAGCATGCAAACTGACAATTGGCACATGCAGCAACCCAGCCGATGACACGATGACATGTTGAAATATGTGTGGCGGAAAATCTTGAAAGGTCAGCGGTAGGGCGTTTGCCTTGCACGCAGCCAACATGGCTGACCCGAGTTCGATTCCTCCGCCCCTCTCGGAGAGCCCTGCAAGCTACCGAGAGTATCTCGCCCGCACGGCAGAGCCTGGCAAGCTCCCCATGACGTATTCGATATGCCAGACACAGTAACAACAAAGTCTCCAATGGAGACGTTACTGGGCCTGCTCGAGCAAATCGATGAACAACGGGAGGGCCTTTACCTTTACCTTTTATACTTTCATTGCTATAAATTTTTGTAAAATGACTGGAATGAACACTACATTAATGGTTAAGACTTAAGAAATGAGGATAGGAGGAAAGCAGGGGTGTGTGTGTGTGTGTATGTGTATGTATGTATGTATGTATGTATGTATGTATGTAAAAGGGCAACAGGATGGGCCTTTGTGATGATAAATGTACTGAATTGTAGCTGAATCATTGTTGATATCCTGATTGTGATACTGCACTGGTCTTGCTAGGTGTATTAGGGAAAACCGGACAAAGGACACATGAGTCATTTCTTACAACTGCATGTTTATGAATCAGTAATTATCTTCAGAAGATTTCATGTTTTAAAAATAAGATATGAATAATCTGATGAAAGAATAGTTCCTCTGTATACCATGATTCTTAAGCTCATTATTGATGGTTCATTTGATTAATTAAAGAAATAATTGTTCACTTGATTATACTTAATTTGACCTATCAAGTTCAAATCAGTTATTCTAGAAAACGTTCACCAAAGTGTAAATATTCTACACTGGCATATAAAGGACACTTCTTTGTTTTGCATTGTCTGGTTACCTGTGTTTCATAAAGCCGTTAGTTTCCCTGTACATTCATTTTGGGAGGTTGGTAATATGGGCTTTGATATAGATTCTCCAGGCTGGGACTGGCAAGACAGTTCACTGGGTCAAGCTCATGCTTAGCCTGCAGTACTGCATGGTCCCCTGAGTACCACCAAGAACACCCCTGGTTTTATAGCACAGAACCATAAATACCCCTGAGCACCTGGGTATGACCCCCCAAACAAAACAATGTAAAAAAAAAATTTCCCCAAGGTGAAATTATTGTGCTGTGCTTTATTGTGTAAAACTGATGAGTATTGGTGTGACACATTCGCTCCTCTAAGAGTAGAAGAGAATGCTTACATATGCTCCAGGCACTGCCAGGGGCTCTCACTCTCTTTCGAGGGGAGGGTGAGGTCTTCTGTAGTCTCCCTCAGTGTATTCCTAAGGAGATGGAACTCTTTCTCCCAGGTTAGCTCTGGACTCACCTGATAGCATTGAATGTGCTTTCTGGGAACTTTCCAAGAATATAATTGTAAGCACAAGGCAGAATAGAAGGCAGGTCAGGGGAAGCAGCATTGTGGTGAATTACTAGGGAAGAGTCTCACTTCTGGTTCACCCAAGTCAACCCTAGATTAGTCCCAATAGTGAAGGACATCTCCACTGTTTGGCCTGCTTCCCTCCTGGCCAAAGGAGAATGACTTTTGCTCAACTGTCAAAGTGTCTGGCAAGTGAAATGTGCTGTTTGATAGTTGGAAATAAAGTTTTATGATCTTGGGACTAAAGGGGATCTATTTTCATTTTTCTAATTAGAGAAGGAGTTGAAGCAGGAGACTTACCCACTGATGTACCTGCCTGGCCCCTTTCACTCACTAGTCTTCCAACAGAGTGTGATTTCATTTTTCTCCTGGGCATGTGTTCTGCTTGGGTTCCGTAGCCATAGTGAACACAGAAGTCGCTGGTTCCCCCAGGCCTAGGGCCAGAAGGGTGAAGCAGTGATCAGGCATTTTGCAGGGTCTCTGCTTCAGAAGAAATTCCCTAATACACCTGGCTCTATCTGCATAACGCGAAAGGAATGCATAATGAAAAAGGAAAAGGAATTCCCCAGGCTTGGACTAGAAAAAACCTCTCATTTAAAGAAGGAAAGTCCGGGATTGCCTTTGGGTGGAAATGTGTAAAAAATCAGCAAGGTTAGCGAAGAGTGTTATGTGATTGTTATGTGCAGGTACATAATTTGAATGGAATCATTTGAGTCACTGCTGCCTCTGTCATTGTCATAGTCACAAATTCAGTGTTAACGTCTAACCTCTTTCTTTGCCCTTGTTTTTTTAGTCTCAGACCATGAATTACGTGGGACAGCTGGCAGGGCAGGTGATTGTCACCGTGAAAGAACTCTACAAGGGCATCAACCAGGCCACCTTGTCCGGGTGCATTGACGTTATTGTGGTGCGGCAGCAGGATGGCACATATCAGTGCTCTCCTTTCCACGTGCGCTTTGGGAAGCTGGGCGTCCTGCGGTCCAAGGAGAAAGTGGTAAGTGTGGGTTGGAAGGGAGATAAAGGCTTTGAACCCAACAGTATGGCACTCTGATTTTTGAAACAGATTTTAAACCTGCACAATGTTGAAGATAATGATTATGAGAAGTCGGCTTTCAAAGTGGCTTCTACATTCAGAAAAGCCCCACTGTGGGAAATTTGAGAGATACAAAAACCGCATTTGTTTTGATAATTCTGTTCTATTGCAGCTCAAGACCAAAATAGGAAAACTAAGGTTACAGTGGGAAGTTGAGTGTTTTTAGAAAAAAAGTTCCTTCAGGTGTTGGAACATTATATGACTGAAACCCAATTTGAAACTGTATATCTTGGGGGCTGGAGTGAAGCACAGCGGGTAGGGCATTTGCCTTGCATGCAGCTGACCCAGGTTCGATTCCCAGCATCCCACATGGTCCCCCAAGTACTGCCAGGAGTAATTCCTGAGTGCATGAGCCAGGAGTAACCCCTGTGCATCGCAGGGTGTGACCCAAAAAGCAAAAAAAAAAAGAAAGAAAGAAACTGTATATCTTATGGTGATTCAATAAAAAAAAGAAAAAGAAGAAAAGTTTCTTTGCCTTTTAAAAGTATATTGGAATATTTAGGCTAATATCTTTATGCAAAATATATATAGAATATATGGATGTAACTAAGAATATGCTGCATTTGTCTAAATTAGTGTCAACTACCTGTTGACATTAAACTATAACATGTTACTTATGGTCTAAATGTTTTTACTGATATCAGGGTTCATCCCCCCAGCTGATTAAAAATGTAAACTGACTGGTATTTGTTTAGTATTTGTTTTCTCTTATAGGAAATTTTTTCAGAAAGGTGATATTTTTATTGATCTTTTCTTTGGGGAATGGGGGTGTGGGCACACAGCTGGCTCTGCTCAGGGGGCCTTATGCCATGCCAGGACTGGAACCAGTTGTTGCACGCTAGGCAGTTGGCTTAACCTTTGTATAATCTCCAGTTGTTCCTTTTCCTCCTTCTCCTCTTCCTCCACTTCCTCCTCCTCCTCCTCCTCATCCTCATCCTCCTCCTCTTCTTCATCACATTCTTCTTCTTTTTCCTTCTTTGTTTTTGGGCCACACCCAGCGGTGCTCAAGGCTTACTCCTGGCATTGTGCTCTGGGGATCACTCCTAGTGGGACTTGAGGAACTATATGGGGTGCCAGGGATCTAACTCAGGTCAGCCGCATGCAAGACAAGTGCCTTACCCACTTGACTGTCACTCTGGACCCTTCCTTTTTCTTCATCCTCTTCCTTGATTATTTCAAAGTAACTGTAAGGTTTGTGTGACTAATGTCCAATTAAGTTAGAAAGTTGAACTAAGAATTAAACTTTACATAAATAGGATTTTCATTTTTGTTCTTGCCCCACAGTGTCTAAATAGTGTAGGAAATTTTCTCAGAGTTTCAGAAAGTTCCTGACCATTTTGAGGTGTGTTAGAAGTAGATATCAGAACATTGGCACATTGAAAACAGCTTTATGTCTGGTTTTGGCTGTTTGACATAGCTAGGGCGTTCGCCTTACACGCGGCCAACATGGCCAACCCGAGTTCGATTCCTCTGCCCCTCTCGGAGAGCCCGGCAAGCTACCGAGAGTATTCGATATGCTAGACACAGTAACAACAAAAGTCTCCAATGGAGACGTTACTGGGCCCACTCGAGCAAATCGACGATCAACGGGAGGGCCTTTACCTTTACCTATTCTTATCCATAAAAAATTATCTATATGGGGGCTGGAGAGATAGCACAACAGGTGAGGTGTTTGCCTTACACGCAGCTGACCCAGGTTGGATTCCCAGCATCCCATATGGTCCCCTGAGCACCATCAGAAGTAACTCCTGAATGCAGAGCCAGGAGAAACCCCTGTGCATCGCCGGGTGTGACCCAAAAAGAAAAAAAATTATCTATATGAAGCATATTATTTTGAGAATAAAAGGAAAAGATTAATGTGTTTCACAAACTAGGTATTTCCGCCCCACTCCCAAAATAACATTGCATGTCTCTTTCATATCTAGATGTTTTGCCATCAGTTTTCCACCGAAGATCCACTTTTCAAGATGGCAGAATTTCTTTTTATTTATTTATTTTTTATTAGTGAAACACCATGAGGTACAATTGTAGACTTAACAAACTTTCGTGCTTGGGTTTCAGTTATACAATGATTGAGTACCCATCCCTCCACCAGTGCCCATTCTCCACCACCAATGATCCCAGAAGCCATTCCACCCCCCACCCCACCCCACCTTTGTGGCAGGGCATTCCCTTTTGCTCTCTCTTTCCTTTAGGGTGTTGTGGTTTGCAATTAAAGGTATTGAGTGGCCATTGTGTTTGGTCTATAGTCTACTTTCACCACGCAACAAGATGGCAGATTTCTGTGGTTTGACTTCTGTTGAGATTCAGTTTGGAAACCCATGCCAGTTGCAGTTTATTTAGTGACTTTATTTTCCATTGCAAAGCATTATTATTTAGCCACAGTTCTACTTCCGGAATTTTTTTCTTTCTAGTTAACACTAACCTCTAGTGCTTTCAGGTTATATCTTCTTTGGGAGACCTAAGAGCAAACTGCTCATGTTCTCATATAGCTCATTAATTGTACCAGGTTCTGTGTATTTATAAAATGACAGAGGTTTTTGAGAGGTTGGTGGTACAGGGCAGGTGGTGTTTTTAATTGTGATGTCAGTATTTGATTAGTAGATTGACTAATCTCACCAATACTGCCATAATTTTTCAATTGAGCCTGTAGGAAGATATATATAAATGTACATATATATTTTCATATATATATATATATATAGAGAGAGAGAGAGAGAGAGAGAGAGCACAGGTAGGGCGTTTGCCTTGCACACAGCCAACCCGGGTTCCCTCTCAGAGAGCCTGACAAACTACCAAGAGTATCCCGCCCGCACTGCAGAGCCTGGCAAGCTCCCTGTGGCATATTCGATATGGCAAAAACAGTAACAACAAATCTCACAATGGATACGTTACTGGTGCCCGCTCGAGCAAATCAATGAATAACAGGAGGACAGTGCTATATATATATATATATATATATATATATATATATATATTTGTGTGTGTAATATATAGGTAAAGGTAAAGGCCTGGAGCGGGTAGGGCGTTCGCCTTACACGCGGCCAACATGGCCGACCTGAGTTCGATTCCTCCGCCCCTCTCGGAGAGCCCTGCAAGCTACCGAGAGTATTCGATATGCCAGACACAGTAACAACAAAGTCTCCAATGGAGACGTTACTGGGCCCGCTCGAGCAAATCGATGATCAACGGGAGGGCCTTTAATATATAGGTACATACATATGTACATATTTTGTTTGTGTAAAATCTATTTGCATATAGATGAAAGCATTTTCTCCTGGCTTACTTCCTATTAATTCAACAACCCCAGGGAAAGAGATCTTCCTTTCTGCAGAACTATTACTATTTAGTCTTTCATTATATTTGGGTCTCGTATCTTGGACAACAGTCACCATAGCTGGGAGTTGAATACTTTGATTTACTTAGTTTGTACTTCCACTTCCTAAAGTAGAGGATGAATCAATCTTTAAAAACTGCCATTCAGATAGATATTCTTGCTCAGAATCGCATGCTAAAGCATGTATACTGCAGCCAGTATTTCCCAAAAGTAAAGCAGTTCTGTTTCAGTATCTTGTTCATATATGTTGTGAGGAAGATTATGTACAGTGTAGGAATTATGACTCTCTGGAAATGAGTGGTTCTTTCAGGAACTGTTTTTCTAGAAGTTGTGCACCAAAATGGAAGTTTTGTTTAAAATAAGCACCTCGGGAAGTACTTACTTAAACTTTCAAAATAATTTTCATTTGTTGCCTAAAGAGTTAATGACATACTGTGCTAAATATTCTTAATATTGACACCGTTTAATAGTAAGTTTAGTTTAGTTTTTTATGTGTAAATTTATTTATTGAATCACCATGAGAGCAGTTACAAACTTTTGGGTTTAAGTCGCGGGCTTACAATAATGAAATACCTATCCCTTCACCAGTGCACATTTTCCACCACCAAAAACCCCAGTGTATGCCCCCATCCCACACCCTCCCCCTACCTGTATGGCAGATGATTTCCACATTGCTCTCTCTCTACTTTGATTACATTCAGTATTTTGACATCAGACCCACCATTATTATTTGGGATTTTACCCCAACACTCACATCTGCAGAAAAGGCAACATTAGACAATTTGTTTTCTGTTGCTGATTATGAATAGCATACGATGTCATGTGGCCACAATAGTGGCCGTGTGATTTTGGAATTCTGAAATCTTAATAATTAAATCTGGAGGAATTTCTGCCCAAAGTTGCTGGGTTCTGAGATTTTTTTCTGAGTCTCTGGGATCAAGTCTTAAGCTGCTTGTTGAGTAGTCAGAGGACCCGTTCATGGGTTTCAACTCAGGTTCTCATGGGGTGGGGGAGGAAAGGACCAGACCCACCCCCATCCTATGAAGCCACGTGTGTCTCATCACTTAGGGCCCCTACCTGGCTGTCCATTGACCTCTGGAAGATGGCAGACCCTGAGCCGCCAGGGGGAACAGGTGGTAGTAGATACAGTTTTATGGAAGAATCAGACTCCATTTATCATACAGGAAATTAATCATCTTGAGAAATTCATATTCGATCTTTCTGAATTTGCCTCCTAAAGCATTAGTTCTTTTTTTTTCTTCTAGCTATTCTGTAGATCAAAGGATAACCACCAAAGATGAAATTTTTGAAGGATAAAGGCCAAGGCTATTACTCAGAGGGGAGTGAGGCTTTCGCATGTGAGAGTACCAGCTTTAGTTTCAGCTTGTTGAGCTCTGACCCCTTGCATAACTTTAGTTAAAAAACATTCTTCCTACGATTATGGAAAAAGCTGCTTCATAAATTTTAGATCACTCTAGGTGTTTACTCCATCTGCTAAAATAGTTTATTTTTCCTTACTATGGGAATTTGTTGCCATACTTTGTTTTAGAAGAATTTGATTTCATGTCACCCCCGGCTTTTTTTTAAAGCAGTATATAAGACACTAAAATTTCTAGCTGAAAAATGACTGAGAGTAGAGGCTCATTATATGGAAGCTGTTTCATGCAGTTCTTTGTTCTGTTTTCGAAATTTTTCTTCATATGAACAGATGGGTAACTTGATGGATTGGCTCCTCTATGAAGTTCTTTTTCATTCCCTCTCCTACCACCCTTCCTCTTTTCATTGTTGATGTTGTTTCCACTGAACGAAGGTTGTACACACACATGCACACACACACACATACAAACACATACTTAGTGTTGGCTCTTGCACAATTTCAGCTTTCTGGGCTCCATGTGTCGGGCTGCAGTGCTTGCACCCTGCTCTCTGGGGTAAGGAAAGTCACAGTGTAATGATTGCCCAGTGTGAGTGGCACTTGCATGTCCCTTTAGTTGCAGAACTCACTTGGCCTGTACCTCTTTTTGTTGTGCCAGGAATCAGCAGGGCAGATCTGGCAGAATCATACTTGGTGCATGTGGACACCAGGGATTTGAGGTCAGGACTACATACTTGCAAGGCAGGTGCTCTTTGCCACTGCAGTTTTCCGCCTGGCCAGTGCTTTCTTTTTTCCATAAGAGTTTCAAAAGCTGTTAGTTAATTTTTAAATATAAGATATGTAAAACTATTCACAGCCTAAAGATAATTAGGCTATCTTAAAGTAATATATTAGTACAATATATACATATAATAATATATACTTATATGCAATTATATAAATACTCACTTTTCAAGGTAGGACCGACCATAAAAAAGACTGGGGTGGCTGGAGAGATAGATGCTTACTCGCCGACTGCAGTTTAATCTCTGGCACCAAGTATCGTCCCCTGAGCCCATCTCGGAGTAAGCCCTGAGGACTTCCAGGTGTGACCCAGAAAATGAAAAATAAATAAAAATGATGGGGACACTGCATCTGTGCAGGAAGTAAGCTTAGTGACCATTGAGAAAAATTAGAATTCTTCACATGATCTTTACAAGTTTTTGTTACAACTTTATAAACATCTTTATTGTCAGTTAAAAACATATAGGCACAACATTGAAAACCAAATTGTTTTCTTTCTTAAAGAGTTTGAGCAGCACTTGCATTATTATTAATGTATAACTTACAGAGTACATCTCTTTTTCATGTCTTGGCAAATTGACATTTTCTTTTCAAAGTTTGTATACACATTTAATGTTTAATCCTCTGAGCATCTAGTGACACAAGTGTCTGACTTCCATTAGTGGGGCAGTTTTGCCTGTCACTGCCTCAGTATCGACCCTTTGCATCACAACTGTGCTCTGACGTGCAGCCTCGCCAACTTCCCTGCCCACAGTTCACTTTTCTTCTCTAACTTGAAGGTGCTCATCTTGAGTTTTTGTTTACTATATCTGAATCTTGGTCATGTTCCTTTTCAATGATCCGTTTTTACAAATATCATGCATTTTTCTCTGGGAAATGGGGAGGCAGCCCCAGTTCATGGTTTGCAGTTCATGATTCAGCTGACTCACAGATATGCGTGGACCAGTCTGGCAGATTAGAGAATGTGTTGTTTGTAGGTTACTGGTCATGAAGGGCGGCATAGATTTCTGTAATGATCTTTGGATGCAAGCATTGGCACAGAGGTTTGGACGCTTGTAGTCACAGTTTAACTGGAATTTGTAAACTGTGTAAAGTGAAGTCTGCCTATGCTGTAACTGAAAATAATTTAATGTGCAAATATTTGTTGATGTTGACATTTCTCATATTCTATGATGTTTAGCAAACTAAAATAATTTTTAAAACCTAGATGTGCTAAAAGTAGATTAGGACTGGGGTCTGGCTTAGTGATGGAGTGTGTGCCTCCCACAGGTGAGGACCTGCAGGGAACAGACCTGCTTAACCAGCTCCTCTCCTGCCCTCCCCATCCAGTCTGTCATGATGTTTTGGGGGCAGGATATGGACCCAAAATTTAGCCTTAGTTTAAAATGACTTGTAGGGTATTTGCCTTGCACTCAGACCACCAGGGAGACCCAGGTTTGATTCCTCCACCCCTCTCAGAGAGCCCGGCAAGCTACCGAGAGTATCTCACCTGCATGGCAAAGCCTGGCAAACCCCCCGTGACATATCCGATATGCCAAACACAATAACAATAAGTCTCACAATGGAGATGTTACTGGGCCCGGTCGAACAAATCGATGAACAACAGGACAGTACTACAGTTTAGTATGAATGGAAAGCTGCTGGTGTTAAATTAAACTTTATGTCTTCTCCTAGATTGACATAGAAATTAATGGGGATGCAGTGGATCTTCACATGAAATTAGGCGATAATGGAGAAGCTTTTTTTGTGGAGGAGACCGAAGAGGAATATGTAAGTTTCTGTACATATGGGTTATTCATGTCTGTGCTGTATGTCCCCAAACAAAAATTTAATTGTACAGATGATTGTTGGTTGTTAGATAAACATTTTAGTCTTAGGTGGAAAACTTAATTTGTTCAAAAGGAGCTAGAGAAATGAGGACGGCTTCAAGCCAGCTCATTTCAGGGACCGAGAACACGAAGAAAGCCTGTACGTGCTCTTTCTGGAATGGAACACACCTCTTTTTTCCTAATGAGTTTCCTTATTTAATGTCTGTTACAGTTTATATCCTGACTTGGCTACTCTTAGTTCCACCTCCGTCATCAAGCCATATCTCTTCTGGCCGTGTCTATCCACATGTGGCCTTTAACCTTGGAAAACATGCTTACCGTTTGGATTAGGAACATTGCTTGCCTAACCTTGATAGTAATATGGAGCAGTTTATTAGGGCCTCAAGGGATATAAATTAATTGGCCTCTCCCCTGTATAAATAATGGTCTAGTGTTTGACTTCATCCACTAGGAGCGCACTTTGCCCCCCACTATTGTGACCCAATGATGGTAAACTAATCTTTTTTCCCCCAATGTTTTTCAAAGCATCATATGTCTTTCATCAACAAAGAATAAGATTTAAGATAAAAATTAGCTTCATGTAAGGATATTGGATGACTGTTTCTTGGTTTCAAAGACAGACTGATAGACTGAATAAATTCACAAAAGAAAAAAAACAAAAATATGAGATTGTTTCTTGTTTAGATAGCTGACTAAAAGCCAGTGACCCATAATGTGAAGAAATATTGAAACTGTAGGATTACTAAGGGAATCTTTACCAGATCAGTGTTTTTCCTACTGTCTTAATTGGTTGTCTTTATATTGTTGTTTGCATGTACCTGGGCTAAGAAAAAAGTTTTTTCTTATTGGAGACAAAGGCAAATGACAGAATGAAACAACAAATGAGGGAATAAAGCAAAACATGTTGATGTCTTTTTAAAAAAATACATAATCTAAAACAGTGATTGAGTTTTATGTAAATAAGTGGAAGAAGTGAGAGGACTGAATTACTGATAGTTACCAGTATCTCATAGTGTGGGAAAATATCACCCCCCCCCCCCTTAGGAATTGACAGTTTAAAAGGGATTTAAACGTTACCACACCTTCCTAACTTCTCTCAGACTTTTCTCAAACTGTGTCATCAGCATTTGCTTCAAATCAGTAACTCTTGATCTGATTTTTGTTCCCGTAAGTAGTTGAACCCTTTGTTCTTTCTTTTATTAATAGATATTCAGCTGATTTCTATTTGCTACATCCTATGATCACATATTCCCCCCCGCCCCCAACCATTGGTAGAAGCGATCAATGGAAACAGAAAAAAGCACCAGTACCAAAGCACCTTTCAAGATATACAAGCAAACTTTATAGAACAAAGGATGCTGAATTTAAAGGACTTAAAACGTAGATCTGCTAACTTACCATGTGGTGCCTTGAAAGTGCACAGATAATACCCCGCCATCATATTTTCTCTGCTGTTACTGGTGTAAACAGATTTTGCTTCAGTAAACAAAACCTCACCGAGATTAAATGTTTATAAAAGTCCATTTCATAAGTTTAATGTTAACTAATTGTAGAAACCTGTTTATGTTCATGTGACTAGTCATGTATTCCAAATTATGTTAAATTAATTTAAACCTTTATCATTTACCTTTCATTACCCCCATGATGCACAGATACGAAGCAGATGACTAAGAGATTTATTTCCTAGAACACCAAACTTGATTATTTGGTTGCTAAGAGTTTAAGTATTTCTAAATTTTGGGCCTTGTGTTTTATTTTGAATTCTTGAAAATGTATCTTATAGACTTTATGATTTTAACATCCAATAATTTTATGATACAGGCTATTTCTCTTTTAATTGCCTTTTTCCATATACAAAATAATTTCATAAGCACAGACAATCACTTTAGACAATAGTGCAGTTCCTCATTTCACTTACCTGTCCTGCTCCCCATTGTTGAGGGACTGCCTTCTGCATTATCCTGTTCTTACTGTCCTTTTGCATTATCCTGTTCTTACTGTCCTTTGTAAGTTTTGACAGATTGTTTTATAACAGAAATCCTTGGGATGCTGCTACCATTTTGAACTTCCCTTAACAGAGATTTAATTGATTGTGCTTTAATTGTAGCTTTCTGTGTTCTGTGCTACTTGGCTTGTTGGTTCCTCCAACAAATGTATTCAGTCATATGGGCTAGCACTTCACTTTGCGCTAATTGAAAAGATATATTCAGAATAGAGCAGTAGTGACTTGAATTCAGTGAGACTTTCTCATCTTTATCAACTAAGTGTTTTTCCTGCCACTAAGAAAATCTAGATATACAATGAATTTATCATTTTGATTTGTGGTTCAGTTTATTATGGATAACGTTTCTATCTCATGTTCTCTTTAAGGAAAAACTTCCTGCTTACCTTGCCACTTCACCAATTCCAACTGAAAATCAATTCTTTAAAGATATGGACACACCTTTGGTGAAACCAGGGGCAAGTGAAAGACCGTCGCAGAGTTCAGACATCTCTCACAAATTAGAATCGGAGACAGTTTTCACTCCAGGTTCTGTGAAAAAGAAAAAGAGGAGGAGAAAGAAGTGTAAACAGGACAGTAAGAAGGAAGACCAGGCCATCTCCCCAGCTGCAGAAGATGCCGTGGACGTGGAGCTGAGCTCTGATGAAGACAAGGGCACCCCAGCAGTAAGGTAGGCCCTTAGAGGTTCGTGAGGGCTCTGTGTGTGGATACCCATGTCCATATCCGTGCATCCTGCAGGCACAGCCCTGGGTCAGCGAGAGGCTTTGTCTGTAGCTAATCTGCTTTGTGATACTTGGACTTGTTTTTCCATTTCATAGTTCATTTTGGAATCCAATGGGAAAGACGTTTTCTTTATTCCTTTCTGCAACTTGACATTTGCCACCAGAGAGATGTCCTACTCAGGCACTGATTTGTGTACTACTCAGAACAGACCGGCATTGTATCTCTTTCTGTCTGATGAGTTTCCATAAGCCAAAGAAATCATAAGCAAAAGGAACATCCCAGTTAGTGACTTGTCTGGGTGAGCAGATGAAACAACCTGGAGTGTTTCTGACCTGTTGTTCATGGGTTTGCTGTCTTACCCCATTACCAAGAACTTTAGAGTTGTCTTGAGTTTATGACCAAAACATCTTAGGAAGTTGAAGAAGAAAGGAAGGAAGTTTGGGTGTTTCTCTCCCCTCTACCCCTACCCCACTTAAAAGAGAATTTTTGCATGCTAGGAAAGGGGGGAATGGCCCAAAGTGGTTGGTGCTCAGATGTATACAGACTCATGTGCCAAAGCATTCTCCCTCCAGTGCTCAGCCAGCCAGGCAATAGCTCATGAGAGGGCCAAAGGACAGAGTGCTGCTGAGACCCCTAGGTGAAGAAGATGCCCCTTGCTATGCTTGGGGATCTCCGGGGCTATTCTCCACAGTGCTCATTGAACCATGCAGTGCTGAGGATCAAATAAGGATAAGCTTTATGCAGTCTTATATCTTAACTAGCTGTTCTGTGGCCTGTAAATGTGAGCTCTAGATCACTGCTGATTAATTTAGTCGTGCTTATCAATTCAAATGATAAGCACTTGATCACTGCTTATCAATTTATTTTAACTATTTTATTCAATGGGGCTGAAGTGATAGCACAGTGGTAGGGCAATTGCCTTGCGTGCAGCCGGCCCGGCTGAGCCGGGTTCGATTCCTTCGCCCCTCTCAGAGAGCCCGGCAAGCTACCGAGAGTGTCTCGCCCGCACGGCAAAAGCCTGGCAAGCTACTTGTGACATATTCAATATGCCAAACACAGTAACAAGAAGTCTCACGATGGAGACATTACTGGGCCCGCTCGAGCAAATTGATGAACGGGAGGATAGTGACAGTGACAGATTTTATTCAATATGCTTTTCAGAAATGTTTCTCAAACTAATTTTCAAAGGCAAATACTTTTGAAGTTGTTATTTTTTTTCCTCTTAGAAAATGATGAAGTACATTTTAGCAACGTGATCGTTTTGTGATAGCGGTGCTTCTCAAAATCTTTTTTTAAAATACAAGCTCAAAGTTACAAACTGGAAAGCTACAGGTGGAATTCATCAGCTGAGAACTTATCTTGTATGTGTAAGGCCCTGGATTTGGGCCCAAGACCGGAAAAAAAGGAAAAGGCTACCAACAGGGGCTGGATGAGGTACAGCTGATGGGCATGTGTCTTGCATGGAGGCTGTGGGTGCAAACCCAGCACCGTGTGGCTCCAGATCATTGGGCACCACTTGGTGGAACCCTGCTGGCCATCAAGCACAACCAGGCACAAGCACCCACAAGAATGGTACTGGCTTCCTGAGTGACTACCACCGCTACCTCTGATTTTGTTGTTTTTCTGTTTTTTTTTTTAGAGGAAAGAGCACAATTTATTATCAAGTAAGTGAGCAGTGACAGATTTGCATGCACATAAGATAGTAAAAAAATATTTACAAATCGCTCAAATTTATATCATGAAGTAGTAGAAAGCACAATTAAGTTGTGTCTGGTTTCCTGGAGAAATGATGGGGTTAAAGCTTGTGACAGTTTCCATTCATCTGGTGAGAACTCCCCCACAATTAATTCCAGAGGTGCAGTTTAACATAAAAGAGGTTATCTGGCTCCTGACCTTGGAGATATTGTAAAAACTGCAGAGTGGGTTTAATCTCTCCTGAGATTTTTTTTTTCATTATGAAGTATTTAAATTTTAACTTTTTCTGGAGTTCTTTTTTAAAAAAATCTTGGTATTACATATATGTAATGTGTTGATCATACATAAGGTCTCTGTAACATTGTATCATATATAGTGTAATGTGTTAATCATCAGGTCATCATTTAGTAGTGTGTTGATCATGCATATTGTTACTATAACAAAAGAGCAGGAAATAAAGTTGCCCACAAGATTGCAAATTGCTTATATTAAACTAAGTGACACAATATTAACTCTAGAAAAGTTAAGGCTTAGAGTCCTATTTTTTAGAATGGTTGCTTTGTGGAGGCCAGACCCAGCAGTGCTCAAGAGCTACTCCCTGAGCTTTCTTTTTTTTTTTTTAATTGAATCACCTTGAGAACAGTTACAAAGCTTTCAGCTACAAAGCTTTCAGGTTTAAAAGTCTTTGTCAAACAATGATCAAACACCCATCCCTTCACTGATGCACATGTTCCACCACCAAGAACCCCAGTATCTCCCCATCCTACCCCTCCCACTGCCTGTGTGGCAGATGATTTCCACTTCACTCTCTCTCTATTTTGATTACATTCAATTTTTCAACAAAAGACCCACCATTATTATTTGGAATTTTCCCCTAACAATCAGACCTGCCAAACAAGTCATCATTAGATAATTTGTTTTCTATTGCTAATAATGGGCTGGAGCGATAGCACAGCGGTAGGGCGTTTGCCTTGCACGCAGCCAACATGGCCGACTCAAGTTCGATTCCTCCGCCCCTCTCGGAGAGCCCGGAAAGCTACCAAGAGTATCTTGCCCGCACAGCAGAGCCTGGCAAGCTACCCGTGACGTATTCGATATGCCAAACACAGTAACAACAAAGTCTCCAATGGAGACGTTACTGGGCCCGCTTGAGAAAATCGATGAACGACAGGAGGACAGTGACAGTGACTGATTGCTAATAATGAAGAGCATATGATGTCGCACAGCCATGACAGCAGCCGTGCAATTTTGGATTTCTGATAATTTTAGTAATTAAGTCCAGAGGGATTTCTGCAAGAAGCCGCTGGGTTCTGAGGTTGGTTTGTGTGCCTCTGGGATCTGGCTGTTCAGGAACCAGAGAAGCCATTCATGGGCAGCAACTCGGGGTCTCATCTGGGCAAGGAGAGGGGCCAGTTTCATCCCCCATCCCATGAGGCACTGCGTCTGTCCTCACTGCAGGCTCATTCTCTCAGTCCAATAGGCTCTGAAAGGTGGTGGTCACTATGCTGCTGCCAAAGGGAAAAGGCGGAAGGGACAATACCCTTTCCCACCTGGGATGGCACGGGGCCGTAGCTTAATTCACATTCAGAAGCTGCTGGGTTCCGAGACTGGTTTGTGTGCCTCTGGGATCATGGCCATTCTGAAGCCGGAGGAGCCATTTGTGGGCGGCAACTCGGGTTCTTGTCTGGGTGGGGAGAGGTACCTCTGAGTTTTTACCACTACCATATGACCACATGAACGCGTGTACACACACACACACACACACACACACACACACACCCCTACAGACAGACCATATCTAATGTTAAACACACACACACACACACACACACACACACACACACACACACACACAGACTGACCATATGTAGCAGTGTTAAAAACTGAGCAGGTAAGGCTTTCCTCTAATTGACCAACCAGCTGAACTCAGTTTCATTCATACAACAAGGCTCCCATCCACGTTCTAAGTACACAGGAGCTGCTGCCAAGGCCCACGTGATAAACAGTCTGAATACAAAGAAACCCTTGCTGATTCCATTTCATTCTTCAGAATACATGCCAGTTTCCAAGTGAGCACTGCCCAGGAATTAAAATTACACTCAAGTAGCATTTGTGGGGTTTTTGTTTTCACAAATTTAAGATTTTTTTTTAAAAAATTAAAATTAATCTTCTCTACTACACGAGATCTCTGACACTGAAGGACCATGTGTGTGGGTCTATTCTCTTGCTTGGTTGGATAAGAAGCTGCTGTCCACAGATTACCACGAATTTCCGAAATTATGTTCTGGGTTTTGTTTTATTTTGTTTTGTTTTGTTTGTTTGTGTGTTTGTTTGACATATCCAGCTTTGCTCTGGAGACATTTCCCTGTATGATGTTCAGTAGCCATTCCTGGAAGTGCACAGAGACCATGTGGTACCAAGTGTCAAACCCAGAGATTCTGTGTATCTGGCATGTAGAGCTGGTGCCCGACCCTTTGAGTTGTGTTGGAGGAAGGTAGATGATGGCCATCATGTCTGATTTCCTCCCAGGTGTGCCAAAGCAGCTCGTGCCCTACCTCCTGGGAAAACTAATGCAGCTAAAGTTCTCTTCATCATGAAAAAGAAGGGGAATTATTTCTTCTTTAGTGACAGTAACCAGATGTATACCAAGTAAAAACTGCCTGGTATGTGTTTCATTTCTCAAGCTTTTTATTTCAAATAACCAGGCAGTCTACAGAGATAGTATGGGCTTGCCTTGCACATGGCCGATCTGGGTTTACTCCCTGACTTCCCATATGATCCCCTAGCCCACCAGGAGTGATCTCAAGTACAAAGCCAGGAGAAATTTCTGAGCACTGCTGGGTATGATCCAAAACCCAAATAAATAAAATAATCCGGCAAAGTTGCTAGTATGTTGTACTTAATAGCATGGCTTAATAGTCCCTTATAGAGCAAAATTTCTCTTTTTCTGAAATTTGAATTATAAATCTTGTAACAAAGTCCTACATTTGGTAGTAATTCTTTACATGAATTTTTTTTCTAACCTTTTTTTGCTCAGCTGTCATGTTGTGACATTCTTTCTCATTCCTCCCACACTTGAATATGTTATTTTGATTTCAGTTCTGAGAGGGTGAAGAATTCTAGAACTGAACAATTAAAGCCAGAGTCAATAGTGAAAATCTCTGCCTTAGCCTCCAGAGTTCACTGTAAACTATACTTACAAAATTCTAAACTCCTGAAGAAATTTGACTAAGTTTTGTAAGAATCAAATTATTAAACAAGAAGAGCTTATTTATAAATGATTTAAATACTGGCTGGAGAGATAGTACAGCAGGTAAGTTGCATCCAACCCAGCTTCAATCCCAGGCACCCCATATGTTCCCCTAAGCCTGCCAGGAGTGATTCCTGAGCACAGAGCCAAAAGTAAGCCCTGAGAAGAGCCAAAAAAAAAAAAGGGAACTAAAAAAAAATTAATGATTTGAATACTATGTAATTTTTTTCCAAAGATTTTTTTAAACTATTTTTTCTTAAATACTGTCATTTTTTTCCTAGAAAAAAATTTCTCACCATCACCTTCTCTTGCTTTCTTAAAGGGTTATTTATCTTTTCAGTTCATAAACTATACAAGGCAATTCTTTGAGATCTCCCATTATCAGATTTCATTGCTGTTATGAAAGTGTAAATGATTCCTTCAGAAGATTTCGCCGAGTTTAATGAAATATGGAAAGGAAACGTGAGAAAAACTTGAAATACAGTTATCCAAATTTTATTTTGATTAGCACTATACTACTCCCTAAAGTATCTTAATTTCTACAGATACTTTTGCCAACTAAGATCTTCTCATATCTGCTAGAAAGCACTAAAGTAACACTTTTGCATATAAGGCTTTATTGATATGTCTTTAAATACAGGAAAGCAAAGTTCAGAATACCCAAACAACTTACGGAAATTTCAACATTGACTAAAACATTTCTAAAGTATATGGAAGTCATCTGCTTGATGCATAAGAAACATTATTCTGAAGGAATTTTGTAAATGAGTGTTGAGTGAATGCTTTGCAGAAATAGTTTATATATGCCTGACTTTTCTAAAGGATTTTGAGAAAAGCAGCATCAGCCAGATCTGCAGTATTGACTTGGTTGACAGAAATGATTGTCAACTTCTCTCTCTGAGCCACAGCCTGGCAAGCAGGCATGTCTGAACACATGAAAACTGTAATTTAGAATAATTTTTAGAATCTTGAGTTATTCACTCTTAAGTTATCAGTGAATCATATGATGCCCTTACAGGAACTCTTTCCTGAAATGTCCTTAAATGAAGACCCAACCAAAAGAAGTTAGAACATAGACACCAGTACAGCACTTTACTTGCATGTGTGAGGCCCTGGATGTGATAAAAAAAGAAAGAAAAGAAACAGAGATGGAGAAGAAAAAATAGCAATTAGAACTGAAAGAGACACAAAGCACAACAATTGTGTGATAAAAGATAGATGGGGGCTGGAACAACAGTACAGCATGTAGAGCACTTGCCTGGTACACAGCTGACCTGGGTTTGATTCCCTAGCATCCCATATAATCCCCCAAGCCTGCCATGCATGATCCCTAAGCACAGAGCCAAAAGTAAGTTGAGGTCCAGAAGTGTATTACCTGAATTTTCTTCTCTGTATTTTATTGATTTCAAGTCTCATGACCTTAATTGGAGTTGATCTTTGTATATGGCATTAAATAGTGATCTTTTTTCTTTTCTTTTTTTTGCATGTGGCCATCCAATTTTCCCAGCATCTTTTGTTCAAGAACTTTTCCTATTTTCATATTATTATAGACAGAAATCTAATCTTATGACTAAGCAACCAAGTCTCTATGTGTGGAGACTATTTCTGTGCATTCTACCTAGTTCCATTGGTATGTGCCTGTTTTTGTTCCAGACCTGTGTGGTTCAATTCCAGTTGCTTTGTAATATAGTGTGAAACAATATTTCCATTTTTCTTTTCTCTCACAATTGTTTTGGCTCTCCAGGGTTTTCTGTGTTCCCATATAAACTTTATAATAATTTCATTTCCTGGAAGATCCATGGGGGGAGGAAGGGTGCGCAGAGAGATAGTACAGGGTTTGTCTTGCATGAGAAAAACCCTGGTTCAATTCCTGAGCAGGAATGATCCCTGAACATAAAGCCAAGCACTATCCACAGTTGGTATAGCCCAACACCACATTCCACACAAGCTTCAAAAATGATGAAGAAAAAGCCATTGGTATTTTGATAGTCATTGGTTAAATTTGTAGATTGCTTTCAGTAAGATGGCTGTTTACTAATGTGTAATTTTCCAACTCATAAACACAGGAGTAACATGTGTTTTGGTTTGAGGGTCAAATCTGATGATGCACAGGGGTCACTTTAGCAGTGCTTGAGTAACCCTACGGTACTGGAATTAAAACTAGGGCTCTTTGGGGCTGGAGTGATAGCATAGTGGGTAAGGCGTTTGCCTTGCTCACGGCTGACCCGGGTTTGATTCCCAGCATCCCATATGGTCCCCCGAGCACCACCAGGAGTAATTCCGGAATTCATGAGCCAGGAGTAACCCCTGTGTATCACCGGGTGTGACCCAAAAAACAAAAAAAGAAAAAAGAAAAACTAGGGCTCCTGCATGCAAAGCATAAACTTCTGCCCTTGAGGCATCTTCCTGGTCCTAAAGAATGTCTACTTGTAAAGAATTTCATTGATAATAAATAAAATTAATTAGGACTCTTTGAATGAGGCAGATGAAAGAATTATTCTTTATAGCATATTACTACTGCCAATTTGGAAGAAACTCTTTGGAAACTACACAGGCTTTGTGTAAACTGTATTAAGTTACTCTCCTGCTGATGAACTTTCAACTGGAATATAGTCTGAAAGCTTTGTTGTCATTCCAGAGGATGGGTGGATATATATGGGCATATTTATTTAAACATTTAATTCTAGTCGTAAGTTCTTTCGGAAGGAGATGGTTTTCCAGGTTGCACAGTGGTATACAATTGAACACAGATACACAGAGCATGGTGGCAAAGGAAATACTGTAGGTAGCTGGGCCCAGAAGAAATGGAAAACGAATCCTGTACCATCAGAAAGGGATCTCTATTTCTAATTCCCCGAAACAGACTTACTGGTAAATCATATGCGGACGCTAAGATTTCTCACCAGTAATTTTTGTCATCCAGAAGCTGCATACTTCATCTGATCTCTAACTGCCACTAGAGAATTCTCTATGTTCTCCATGACATGAAGCTTCACGGAGAAGCTCTGCTTCTGGCTTTCCTCCCATTTATTTCTGATACTGTCACGGAAGAATAGTGCAAGTTTCCAGCTTGTTCATTATGAGTTATCTTAATGGAGCATTAAGAACATGTCCTATAGCCAAGGCACACTGAAATTCGCTGATTAATAGTGTGCTAAAGTCGAGATCAACAGACACTTTATATAGTTAGTGATCTTCAGTCAAGTAGTTAGCACTTTCATTAATCTGTTACTGCCAATAGAATGCATTAAAATTTCTTCTAATACATCCTGTATACGTAATCCCAGCTAATGGAATATATGAGTGATGTGGTTATTCTTCTATCTGGTTTTTATAAGAGTTCTTTATACTTTTCAGATTTTTTATTTTATACTTTATTTCATACTTTTTTAAAGTTTTCAACATAATACACCACAAATATCTCACATCAACTCTGAAGTAGTAGGACAAGTGATAAATGTCCAACTAAGATGAAAAATTAGGGTACAATGGATAGGGCATATGCAAAGCACATGTCTCACCCAGGTTCCATCCCTGAGCCTCACCAGGAGTGAACCTGAGCTCAGAGCCAAGAGTAAGCCTGAGCACTGCCAGGTAATCTCCAAAAGCTGAACAAGAAGTAGTCCCACAGAGCTTCTGAGGGATATTTTCAAGGTTATTTGGTAAGTTAATTAACTGAAAATTCAAGAAAATCAAAGGGTAAATTTATTAAGACTTCACTAACATTTCAGCTTCCTATAATTCCAAGATCCATGTATAAATTTGATTATTTTTTAATTTGAGGCACCATGATTCTAATAGCAGACTCATGCATACAGCTGCACGGATCATAGCACCCACAGATACCTGCTTCCCTCTTCCATTGTCTCAGTGCCGCTCCCCACCTCCACCCAAGTGCCTGTTCTAGCAGGCTTAGTTCTGTGGACCAGTTCTCAGGCCACGTATGAATTTTTAGAGCATTCTCATACCATCTTGCCCACACCTCCACCTCACGTTGATGATAAGTAAAGGGAACATTGTCCACTAATGCTTGACCCAGACGAAGAAAGGAGTTCTGGGATTTCCAAGTTTCCAGAGTTTCTTTGAGCCATGGTTCTTATCAATTGAGAGTCTTCAGGTTTCTGCAGTGCTCATGAGAGTATAAGTGAAAAGACGATGTACTTCAAACCCATCTATTCACTAGCGTTTTCACTTTGAACAAGATATGAAATTCCTTGGACCTTGATTACCTAATATCTAAAAGGGCATAGTCCTATTTCAAATGTGTAAGGATTAAATGAATATATGTAAAGCCTTCATTTTCTAGCCTTTGAATTGGTAATTAAAATTTTCTTATTACACTCCTATCTTTTCCGTTCTTCCTCTAACCCCTTTTAAGTCATGATTGCAGTAGTGTTTGGTGGGGGGCTTCACTGAATTCCCCTTCTCTTTCATATTTTCCTTTGTAAAGGATTTGTTAATCATTTGACCATCTTCATTTGTATTATTTAGGCATTGGTCAATTTGGAGATGTTTTAAAATTATTTCTATTTTTTTTTTCCTTTTGCAGAGGATCTTCAAATGCTTCCTTAAAGGAAGAAGAATATAAGGAACCTTTGCTGTTCCATTCTGGGGATCACTACCCCTTATCTGATGGAGACTGGTCCTCTTTAGACAGGTGAGTAATTTCAAAATTACTCTATCTCTTTGATATCTCTATAGAGATACCTTTATCTCTATGAAAAAATTATATTTCCCATGTCTTCATATAGTACTTTTAAACTAAACTGAAGAGTACTTTTAAACTGTATGTGGACCTTTTCTTTCTGTAATTATTAAACTTGGTTCTTGTATTATGTTGGTCAGGGTAGATTTGTGTACATCAGCTTAGAATTTGGCCCTTTGTATTTTTCATTTTATTGTTAATATTGTAATTGTAGTAATATTGCTAAACCTTTTGACAGGCTTGTTCCAATTTCATGTATTAGACTAATTTCCCACATTTTTTTCTTGACATTCTCTTGTTTCTTATGAGAATCAAATGGGATAAAGTTTGTAATTCATTTAGAGAGAATCCTGTAAATCTTCAATAGAGAGTTTCGGGGTTTTTTTAATTATTATTATTTATTCAGGTATAAGATGGGGATTTGGGGGGGTTGTTTGTTTTTGTTTGGGGGCCACACCCCTAGCCATGCTCAGCCTGGTAGTGCTCAGGGGACCATAGGGAGTGTTGGGGATCGAACCCATCAGCCATGTGCAATGCGCGCCCTACCCACTGTACTATTACTGCTTAAGCCCCAGAAGACAGTTTTTTAGTCTGTTTAGCTCAACAAGACTTTGGTTTCTGACTCTGGAATTTGAAACAGGATATTGATTATAAATCAGTATATAAAACATGACATTTCTCTGTCCTGTGTTGCAGTGCCTATTCCCCTGTGCCCTGCCCTAAAAGCGATTCCGAGCTAGAAGTGAAACCCGGCGAGAGCCTGCTCAGATCAGAGTCACACATGGAATGGACTTGGGGAGGCTTCCCGGAGTCCACTAAGGTACCATGAGTCACTGTCTTGTGATATGTCTGTGAACAGTGAGCAGCTTTGGACGGGAAAACACTCGGCTCACGGAGCACAATGAGTGCATGCAGGAGGCGAGGCTGTGCCCAGCTCTGCCCTGTGTGACCCAGTCATCAAGAATAAAGTGGGCAGTTGCTGAGCAAGCGCCTGTGAAGATAAATGATAGTGCCCTCTTGTGGTTATAGAATAAATCCAACTCTAACATCTTAAATCTTTTTTACACTGTTTACAACTAAATTACGGCATATTTTATGTGCAATTCTATTCAATAAATAATGTTGATTGCTAATTACTAAATGTATATATATTTTTTCTTTTTTGCTTTTTGGGTCACAACCGGCAGTGTGCAGGGGTCACTCCTGGCTCTGCACTCAGAAATTACCCCTGGCAGTGCTCAGGGTACCATATGGGATGCTGGGAATCGAAACTGGGTCAGCCACGTACAAGGCAAACGCCCTACCCGTTGTGCTATCGCTCCAACCTCTCTAATATTTTAATATGGAAAATCTGCTTTCCTTTTGGTAACTAAAATTTCCACTCTGAAATTTGAAACAGGATATTGATTATAAATCAGTGTATAAAACATATAAGATATAAATCAATATATGTACTTTTTGCTACCTCATAATGAAAGAAGAAATAATTTGAACATTTGTATTTTCCCTTTTAGTTTCTGAAAATTGTCATACTTATTTATTCCTCTCCAGTGTTAACTCTTCATAGTAGGCAACATCTAACAAATTTTTTTAACAAAATAACAATTTTTTTCACTTCTTAAATATTTTACATTTAGAATAGATTTAATGAGTTCATGGATGCGTTAATAATGATTACATTTAGCAGCATTCAGATTAAGAAATAGAACATAATAAACAGCTTTACAAGTTGGGGTTTTTTTTTTATTTACTTGGGGGGAGGTTTTGGGCCGCAGGGTATTCATACTCATAGCTCTGTGCTTAGGGATCACTTCTGGTGGAGTTTAGGGAACCATATGGAATGCTAGAGATCAACCCGGTTGGACCGGCAAGGACCTAAACTGCTGGACTCTCTCTCTAGCTCCAGAGATTTGACTTTTACAGCCGGAGCAATAGTACAAGAAGTAGGGCATTTGCCTTGCATGTGGCCTCCCCACAGCACCCGGCACCCCTTGTCATCCCCCGAGCATGGCCAAGAGTAATTCTTGAGCGCAGAGCCAGGAATAACCCCTGATCATTGCTGGGTATGGCCCCAAAGAAGGAAAGAAAGAAAAGAAAAGTTTGATTTTTAAACTGTTCAACCTTTTTCTAGGTCAGCAAAAGAGAGAAACCTGCTGATCATCATCCTAGGACAGCTACAATTACACCATCGGAAAATACCCATTTTCGGGTAATTCCCCCTGAAGACAACCTCATTAGTGAAGTTGAAGATCGTTTTATGGAAGAAACCGTCTGTACCATAGTGAAACCCAAACCCAGAGCCCTGTGTAAGCAGATGAGTGATGCGGCTCCTGCAGCAGACCCGCTTGAATGCCCCCCGGAGCCACCTCTGATTTCATCTATGTTAGATGTGGACAACTTGCCTGCCCCGTCCCTTGTGGAGGCACCCTCGGACTCAAAACCAGCAGCTAAAGTAGACTCGCCATCCAAGAAGAAAGGTAACTGCCTCATTCATGCCTTTGCGTGTTTAAGTTTAGACAGTAAGTTCCTTGGGTCTCTTTCATATACCGTGTGGTGGCTATTCTTGGTCTTTGTCCTCTATGCACTACCCTGTGTGCAGTGGTGTGGTGTCCCCACAGAGAGCAAATGTCTCTGCTTTTACTCTGTCAACTGTCAGTGTTTGTGTACTATTTTGGATTTTTCATTTTTTTTTTTCATTTCATCATCCTGTTAATCGTCGATTGCCTCGAGCAGGCCCCAGTAACGTCTCTTTCATCCTAGCACTGAGATTATATTCACGGCTCTTTAGGAGAATGAGACCCATCATTGTTACTGGTATTTGGCATATTTGGTAGGCCACGGGGAGTTTGCCAGACTCTGCCCTGTGGGCAGGCCACATTCGATAGCCTGCGAGTTTGTCCAAAGTAGGAATCTGATAAGATGTTGCGCGGCCGCAAATGCGGCCGCGCGGTTCCGGGATCTGGATTTTATAGTCTCTGAGTCTTGGCCGCTGATGGGATTAGGAAGAATTTATGTTTTTGCCACACTTGGCAGTGCTCAGGGCTTACACATTTGCTATCTGATCATGTGCCATGGCCTTTCTATTTATGGAAACAAAATTTTACCTACTGGTACTCATTGTCATATATAGTCAGTTGGCTTCCTTTTAAAAAAATTTTTTTAATTGAATCATCATGAGATACGCAGTTACAAAGTTGTTAGTGATTGGGTTTCAGTCATACAATATTCCAACACCCATCCCTTCACCAGTGTACATTTCCCACCACCAATGTCCCCAGTTTCCCTCCCCCGAACCCCAACAGGCAATTTTCTTCTCTCTCTGTCTCTCCTGCTCTCTCTCACTCTCTCTCTTGTTCTTGCTCTCTCTCTCATTCTTGCTCTCTCTCTCTCTGTGTCCCCTCTCCCCCCTCCTGTCCCTTCTCTCCACTCTCTCTCTGCTCATCTCTGTCTGTCTGTCTGTCTGTCTGTCTGTCTCTCTCTCTCTCTCTCCCCCCCCCTCCTCTCTGCCCTCTCTCTCCTCTTTCCTCTCCCCTTCCCACCCACCTCTTTTGGCATTATGGTTTGCACTATAGGTCCGAAAGGTTATCATGCTTACCTACTTTTAGCACTTACTTCTTGTTCAGAGTGATCATTTCCAACTATCCTTGTAGTGGTCCCTTCTCTATCCTAACTGCCCTCTGCCCCCACCACTTGTGACAAGCTTCCAACCATGGACCAGTCCTCCTGGCCCTTGTTTCTACTGACCTTGGGTATTAATTTCATATTGTGTTTTTTCCCTCTCTCTCTCTGACACATTTTACTCAGCATGATACTCTCCATGTCCATCCATGTATAGACTTGCTTCATTTAAAAAAAAAAATGCAACCACCAGGACCACACTGTAGTTCTAGGGTTGGAATATATGCTTTGCATGAAGAAGTTCTGTGTTTGATCTCCAGCACTACATGGCCCCCCAAGCTCCATCCAAGCGTAGTGCCCCCACAGATATAAATTAAAAGAATCCTAATAACAAAGGTTAGAGACTAAAAACTGATTTTATATATGTTTACTACCAGCATAGACCTCCAGGCTCCCTCAGAAATAATATATTTTTTTAAAGAATTGATTGCCAGGGTGCTTGCACCAAACTTGATCCTCCAACTGTGGTGACTCTGCTCTTGTGAGGTGGCACCCAGAGCCCCATACATCCAGAGCTACGGCGGCAGACCTCAAACCACACTACCTCTCCTGTCTGTTTGCTTCCATTTCTGTGATACTGACCAAGGCTAGTTGGCGTGCATACTCTCTCACTTTCTGGGTGTATCTAATAGGTTTTTTGAGAAATAGGAATCTCTGTTTCCTTAAATTTGAAGATAGTATCTTGTAAATCTGGTGCATGTTTTACATATTTTTGACACATTCCTCTCTCCCATGAGGTCAAGTGCTTGCTAACCACAGGACAGTGATGTCCACCAGAGTGGGCAATGCTGACTTAGAGGCTTGATTAGATTTGAGTTAAATGTTTTTTATCACTTAAAGATGACTTTATTGGTATTGGGTATTTAATATTGTATCACATTAATACCCCACTATTTGCGATGGTAATGTAAAACCAGTTAAGGTATTAACTGCTAGATTTATTCCTTATTCAGGCTTTGTCCTTTTACAGTCAGAAGGGAATGCCCAGCAGCACCTTAGCACACAATACTATTCAAACAGCATTAATAATTGCAGTGTTGGTATAATGCTAAATTTCCCATTGTTTGACATGGATAATGAACTGAACACAAGTGAAAGCATTGTCACCTTTAAAAATAAAACCCAAAGAAAAAGAAAAAAATGTAATTAGTAAAGCCCAGTTTGAATCATCACGAATCACGACCATCCTGTTATTCACCGATTGCCTCGAGCAGACCCCAGTAACGTCTCCTTCATCCTAGCCCTGAGGTTATATTCAAGGCTCTTCAGGAGAATGAGACCTATCATTGTTACTGGTATGTGGCATATTGGGTACGGCACGGGGAGTTTGCGAGATTCTGCCGTGTGGGCAGGCTACATTCGGTAGCCTGCCAGTTTGTCCAAAGTAGGAATGAGATAATAAGATGTCATAATAAGATGTAGCGCGGCCGCATTCGCCGTGCAGTTCCGGGAGCAGGTTTTTATAGTCTCTGAGTTTTGGCCGTTGATGGGATTACATGGTGCCAGGGGGCCAGTTGGTGGGTGTGACCCCCGCCTACTGGAATATGGAGGATCTGGATTTGAATCATGATCTGTTTTATTTTTTTTGCAAACCTTTATTTTCCTATGAGTTGTAAACAAGGAATAATTAAGTTTTTGTCTTTTTTTTTTATCTTGTAAAAACAGGTGTCCATAAAAGAAGTCAACACCAGGGGCCTGATGATATTTATCTAGATGACTTAAAGGCTCTGGAACCTGAAGTAGCAGCACTCTATTTCCCTAAAAGGTAGTTATATCTTCCGTGTATATTGAATAACAAATTAACTCTGAAATATGCAAGCTAATTCTTTGGCAAAACATCTCTGATTTAAAAAAAAATAAAAGGACTAGGAAGATGGTGTCCTTTGACTAAACTGGATAATCACTTACTATTTTGAAAAATGCCAAAATTACGCATTTTTGACTTCATTGATTTGAAACTACTAAATTTGCCACTGTCTTTATGAAAACTATTCATTCTCATTCAAAGAGCTAGACTGGTTAAATCTGCATAAGGGATATCAGAGGATATGTCCTATAGCACTTACCGCAGTTATTAATGCCTGTGCAGTATGCTTGTAGACTTTTGTCAGAATTTGTTTTCAGATATTGTTTTTAAAGTTTTATTGGAAAGTACTCTGAGGTACTGTCCCCAACAGTACTCTGGGACCTGGAAGCTACCCCCAGTGAGGCTGAGGGGGAGCAAACAGTGTCAGAGCATGCAGCTGAGCTCTGCATTGTGTCACTGTTGTGGAATTGTGCCCTGCAGAGTCTGTGTATCCTCCAGGTAGTTAGAGGTTGCATTGGTTGTTAGGATAAATTGTTAATAAAGCTTAAGGCCTATGTTGTATATGATACTATATCTTGTATTTGAAAATTGCCAAGAGTAGATCTTTAAAAATTTTCATCTCAAGGGGTCTGATTCGGAGCTGGAGCTAATTTTGTAAGAGTAATTTTGTACACAATGGACAGTTGGTAGAGTGTTTGCTTTGCACACAGCAGACCCAGGTTGGATCCTTGGCACCCCATATGGTCCCTCAAACCCTGCTAGGAGAATCCCTGAGCATAGGTGGGTATGGGTCCAAAACAAAAAAAAGGGGGTGGGGGGTCTGGTTATCCAAGGATCAGATTTACCCACCACACCAATGTAAGAAAAGTTTTGCTTCTTTACATTGTCTTTGGCTTGTTCATCATTTCTAATGAGGAGAATATTATTGGTCCAATTAATCTCAATATTGGAGTACAGGAGTGTACATTGCTATGAAAAGAAAAAATTCCAAAAAACCTGATCTTTATTGGCAAATCCAAAGTACAGTTCTGAAACTCATTTCTGTGTGCCACAGCTATACTCTGCTGCCACCTACTGCTCTGATTTGAATCTTTCCCTTAAGAACACAACTTTACTAAAAACACTGGTCACAAACATTACTAAATACACTGGCTGTTTTCATAAAGTAATTTGAAATTCTAGAAAAAGAGGTCCTGAACCTTTTGGTCTACTGTCCCCTTTTCAAAAGAAAAATAATAAGACTCCTAGAAAGTTCCCCTCTCTAATTGAACAGAGAATTGAACAGAAACTATTGCCACCCCACTGAACTGTTCCAGTCCCACGTCCTGCTCTCCAGGAGGGGTGGCCAGCGTCCTCTGGTGTGCTTGATTGGTTTCACAGAGTGCTGTTTATCCGGTGTGAGGATTGAGGGACTTCCAGTGCCTTTTGGAGGGGTTGGGTGGTATTGTTTGGTTTTGGAGGGGTCTCACAAAAAGAGCTCAGGAGGCCCAGAGCCTGTCCATTGCTTTTCTGCCAGCCAATGGGCCATACCTGATTGAAGAGGACTGTGTGGTTCTAGGGGTTGAACCGGGCTTGGCTGCACTCGAGGCATGCACTGCACTTTTTTCCAAACCCTGTACTTTTTGTTTTTGTCGCAGAGTTATATCCATTACAAAAAAATAGGATGACCTTCTATGCTTTAGCTACTCAAACCAAGAACACTGACAAGCCTCATCTTTTGTCCACCCCTTACACTAGTGCATCAACCACTGCTCGAAGTACTTCTGCTTCATCTCTTCATCTCTCAGTGCAGTGCTCTTCCTGGGGATTCCTCCTTAGAATCTTCTCTTTACTTTCTTCCTGTGATATAACAGGTGGATTAAGAAATGTCTTGTTTCTAAAGCATAATGTAGCCTTGAACTATAATTATTTTTTACACGATGTATATAGTATCGTAGCTTTTTTTTAGGAAGTTAGTAATTTCCAAATACCACATTTTTCTTCATTACCCTAGTTTGGGGTTTTCTTTTGCAGGGGCTTGGAGGATAACTCCCAAGCAAGCTCTCAGGATCTCCAGGGTCCCCTCAGGATGCTCCTTGTCCATCAGATGGGTGGGACTACAATTGATTGCTGAGGTTGTGAAGGGCTATGGGCTCCAGACCCTCCCTGCAGTCTCCAGACTACCCCTGCAGTGCTGGAATGGGGCCATGTGGGGCTGGGCATCAGATTGGCATCAGCCCCATGCAAGGCATACATCCTAATCCCCTTCCTGCCTTCCAGCCCCATGCGTTTCTCCAATTAAAGTCATAAAGGCCATAGTTGAAATGTTTATGTAATTGTGAACTCAGTGTTGTGATTTTTTTTTATGACATGAATGTGTTCACAGTTCATTTCTCACTCTTGCTATTGGCTTGTGTAGAAGTCCTTTATGATCCAGTTTTAAACACTGAGAAAGATTGTCTGCTATGAAGTTTCTGTTTCAAGGTGGCTGAGCTATATCTAGTCCAGAGCAGAGAATACAAGAAGTCATGACAAGACAAATCTTTTCTCCCACCTCCTTCCTGCAGTGAATCCGACCCTGGCTCCAGGCAGTGGCCTGAGTCGGACACATTCTCTGGCTCCCAGTCCCCACAGTCTGTGGGCAGTGCCGCAGCTGACAGTGGCACCGAGTGCCTCTCGGATTCTGCCATGGACTTGCCGGACGTCACCCTCTCCCTCTGTGGGGGCCTCAGTGAGAATGGAGAAATCTCTAAAGGTAACTTACACTCACCTGTCATGGCCTGGCTGAAACCTCCTGCTGACCCTCAGGCACTGTGTTCCTAGCCTTGTATAGTAGCAGCTCCAGGTCACTGGCCCCTCATTTAGGTGCCGGGAGGCTCTCACTTCCTGGCAGAAGGTTGAGTCTTGGGCTGCCCTGCTGGCCCGTATTTGGATTTGGACAGTGTTCATTTCTGTCTGTAAAGTCATTGAAATATTTGTGAGACTGGGGTCAGGGTGCCCTCCTCAACAGCACGGGGCCTTGGCTGTGAGGGCAGAGGTTAAGCATACGAACTTCCCTATCCTGGAGTACCTGATCACATTGGCTGAAAAGTAGAAGGAACTGCTACTCTGTTTCGAATTTGATGATTAGCCTAGAAGAATCAAAAGTCAAGTTGCTCAAGAACCAGGGGGGAGGAGGGGTCACTACATAACACATAGGCCCTCGTGTGGGTTTAAGACCATTGTGTGTGTGTGTATGTGTGTGTATGTGTGTGTGTGTGTGTGTGTGTGTATCCCAAATTCCTCTGCCTTTTTCACCTTCCCTTCTCAGTGAAACTCTCACTAATATGTCTCAGTTGGTCTGCTGGTTCTGGTATAATTTTCTACTATGGGAAAGCTTTTTTTTTTTTCCCCTCATAACCAGCATCTTTTTTTTCCTTTTCTTGCCCTCAGCATGGGCTGGTTCCCTCATCCCTGATTTTTCCTTTTAGCATCACAAGATGCTCATTATGCCTCTTTCTTATCCCTGTCTTATTTCTTGTTTATTTTCTGCAAGAAATTGTGATGATCAGGGTCTTTATACAGGGACAAAATTAAGTAGGTTATATTCTAATTCTCCTGTGTCCTCACTTAGGAAAAAAAATGACTACAAGGAATGGAAAAATGCAATGTATATAAAATACAAAATTTGCACGATAGCACAGCGGGTAGGGCGTTCGCCTTACACGCGGCCAACATGGCCGACCCGAGTTCGATTCCTCCGCCCCTCTCGGAGAGCCCGGCAAGCTACCGAGAGTATTCGATATGCCAGACACAGTAACAACAAAGTCTCCAATGGAGACGTTACTGGGCCCGCTCGAGCAAATCGACGATCAACGGGAGGGCCTTTACCTTTACCTTTTATTCTTTCAGTAAAAGATAACAGTCTGGTAGAGATTGTTCCTGGAGGAGTCGGAATTTAAAAAAAAAGTAAAAAAAAAGCTTACTGCTTGTGAGGGCAAGTCAGAGTAGTAAAGATTACTCGAGGTCTGGGTCTGCAGATTTAAGAAGAGACTCCAGAAGTACATGCAGACTCTACTTTTTCTGTAAGAACTCGGAGTTTATTACTCAAGACCCTGTACTCAACGTGTGTTTCCCCAAGCACTTGTCAAGTTCTCTAAGCGGCGTAGTGTGGGCCCGGAGCTGTAAGACTGGGGACCCTGCCTTGTTAGGAGGTTGTCTGCCAGCAGTTTGTTCCTTTGATAAGGAAATGTAATTTTAGTTCCAGTCTGTGTGTTGCTACCCCTCTCCAACCACATCTCTAGTCTTATTTTCTGAAAAATCGCTAGCATGTCCCTTTCTTTTATATTTTGAACCTGGATGAGCTATGGAGAATGAGAAGGAAGAATAGAAAAAAATTGTTCCTTTATATACTAAAAGTATATATATGTATATCTGATACTTTACTTTTGATGTATGTCTTATTTTTTTTTAAGTTTGTTTCATAGTCCCTTAAATGTAAGGATTGTCACTGTCCTCCCATTGTTCATCAATTTGCTCGAGCGGGCCCAGTAACGTCTCCATTGGAGACTTTGTTGTTACTGTGTTTGGCATATCGGATACGTCACGGGTAACTTGCCAGGCTTTACAATGAGGGCAAGATACTCTCGGTAGCTTGCCGGGCTCTCCGAGAGGGGCAGAGGAATCGAACTCGGGTCGGCCATGTTGGCTGCATGCAAGGCGAATGAATGCCCTACCTGCTGTGCTATCGTTCCAGCCTAAATGTCAGGATTATTTTGATAAAATATAGGAATTTGTGTAATCTCTAATCAAATTAATTATCATTTGCAGAAAAATTCATGGAACATATTATTACTTACCATGAGTTTGCAGAAAATCCTGGGCTTATAGACAATCCTAACCTTGTGATTCGGATCTATAACCGGTAAGTACTTTACTTTTGCGAGTTTTTTTCCCAAGTACTGCTTTTAATAATGAGAGTTTCTCTTGCTGTACAGTAAGCTAATGATTTTGAAGTGAAAGGCAAGCCTTTATTTTCAGAGGAAGCACTGCAGTGTTACTTGTATTCTGCTTCTGTTCAGAGAAATCTGCTTGAAGCAGAAGTGTTTTATGTAACAAAAATTGAGCTGATGATCCTTTTACTGAAAATAACAAAGGAATAAAGGGGTTTTATTGTTTCTACTTCTCTTTTTGTGTGTGTCTCCCTTTCCACTACTGTCTTATCTCTTGCTCTCTCCTCTTATGATTTTATATGATTTTTATTCCTCACAGTTACTATAACTGGGCTCTGGCTGCTCCCATGATCCTCAGCTTGCAAGTATTCCAGAAAAGTCTGCCAAAGGTGAGGTGACCCACCATTTGTTGATCTTCTGACTCATCTACAGTGTATTAGGTTTTTAAAAAAAAAAAATGTACATATTTCTTAACTGGTTTTTATTCAAGTTTTAGTTTAATATTATAAAATGAATTTAATATTTTTAAAAATTCAATAATTCTGTGTGCCCACTCAAGTGATACCATGCACAAAATCTTGAAAATAAGCTAGGTTATTCATCTTTGTCATTTTTTTCTTCTACACACATATATAGTTTTGGGGGGGTGGTGATTTTTTAAACTGTTTCTATTGAGGTACTGGGATTTGCAGTATTGTTACTCATTTTTCATGATATATCATTCCAACACCACACCCACCACCAAAAAGACCGATTCCCTTCAACTCCCACATGTAAGCTCAGTTCTTGTCTTGAAGACAAAATCATCAGTTTTTTTGTCTTGACGACAAAATCTTTAGTTCTGATGGCTTTGGCCATTTGAATTTTTTGGGGGGGTGCGGTTGTCGCACTCAGTGTGTACAGGGTTACTCCTGCTTCTGCACTCAGAAATTACTCCTGGTGGTGCTTGGGGAACCATATGAGATGCCAGAGATTGAATCCAGGTCAGCTACGTGCAAGGCAAACCCCCTACCTGTTCTACTACTGCACCGTCCCCAGACTTTGACCATTTGTGTCCCCTTCCTAAATTCTTCTTTATCCATATTGGGCTAGATCTCTCACTCTTTTTTTTTAATGCTGGAGGTGATGAACCTACACACATAGGTAAACAGAACTAAGTAAACTGGAATTCTACAAAATTGTAAATCATTGTAAATGATACTTATAAATTATCATTGTAAATGATAAATTATTTAAAAAATTAGAAGCGATCTTTCTTGTAGGATAACACTCTTTTGTCCTTCCTCAGGTAGCTTAGGTTTGTCAGGTCACACCCATCTAAAGAACACTGAACTTGTATTGTAAGCAATGTCCTTTCTGTGTGGACACAGGAAGACAGTTAATATTATGCTTTGTAACTTGGGAGTTGATTGACTCCGAATAATATTTACTCCTGGGCATCTGATTTCTTGACTCAGTTGCCCTTAGTTCCTAGCACCCCAAAAGCAGGGTCCTGACGAGGGACTGAATGGACCCAGGGCAAGCAGTGAGCTACCCTGGCATCGAAATGGGCCAGGCCAAAGAGCCACGATACTCAACTATAAGTTGAGGGCATGATCATGGACAAATGCTGTCATAATCCAAAAGTAAGTAACGACGAGACTAGGACCCTACTGGAGCTAGTAAGATTAACCTGGCCTGAGGACTGCGAAATGTATAGTGAGATGTTCTCAGGAAGAACCAAACTAAATTTATATCTCTTACTGTGCTCATACAGAATGACATTGCTAGAAATATTAGAAGTAGATTTATTACAACTATTTAAGTAGATTACTAACTGAAGGAAGAACACACCCTTGTTGGGATCCCACCCTTGGGTGCATCTCCTAGTAATCTGAAGTAATCTCTGTAGATGAGATTTTATCCTTGAGTTAATCTCCTGGAGGAGTGGTCTTACCTCTCTTTGTTGATTCGTCAGTATTCAACCCACCTTTATGTCACCGCCTTATGTGACTGCTATATAAACTAAGACGTAAGCTCGGAAAAGGGGTGAGAAGTGAGAGAGCTCGGGCTCCAGAGATCCAGAGTCAGAGCCAGAAGGAGAGGGTTTCCAAGACTGGGGCCCAGGAGAGAAGGAGGCAGAGAAAGACAGGAGTGAAGAGGATTGGAATAAACTGCTATTGATATAGACCGGCCTGGCCCCCGTTTTTTCTTCCGTCTGCCCTTGGCCAACAGCCGTTCCTATCCAGGCCACACACAGTGGCTCAAGAGCACCAAACGCAGGCGGTGAAACAGTGCCGTCCAGTGAGCCCGTGAACATACAACCTTCGGCGTGATAAGATTTTACACTTTCTTACAAGTATAATTTTTTTAAATTCATACCATAATTCTGTGCTAATATATTTTACAATTTACATGAAATAGATCCTACAAATGCAAAACTTAATAAGAATGAAGTAAGTTAAGAATAGTTTAAGGGGAAGGGAAGGAGCAGATAGGGCATGTGCCTTGCTGAGCATTGCAGGGTGTGCTCCCCCCAACCAAAAAAAAAAACCCAAAAGCAACAAAAATTTAAAGGGAAAAATCTAAATAGGAGAATATAGAAGCATTAAAGACTGTTTTCTCTTAAGAGAGGAAGTATTGACATTGGTTCCATCAGTTGAAGCCATGGCTAAGCATTCTAGCTGGTCCTCATGAGAATCACAATTCTAAGGGCAGAAAATTGACCACAGCCTGCACTACATGGCTGAACTGAGTTGTTCCTGCACTGCACGGCCAGCAGGTTCCACTGCAAAGAAGGACACTGGCCAGTGTTCAGAGGTCAGGGCTCTCCAGCATTGTTCACTGTCTGTGGCCAAGCACCCTCCTGTGGGCTGATGGTAGGAAGGAGTCCAGTGATGCTCACCATCGGATTGCTAGACTAATCCACGCTGATTGTTTCTAGGCCACAGTTGAGTCCTGGGTCAAAGATAAGATGCCAAAGAAATCTGGACGCTGGTGGTTTTGGCGTAAAAGAGAAAACATGACCAAACAGGTAAGACGCACAGGGATGATTACTGCCATGGGAGAAGCAAGCCCCCCTGCCCCACTCCACACGCATACAACTGTTGCTGTTTTGTTGGTCAAACCTAGTGGAGCCAGGGATTGGACCCAGAGCCTCATATGTAGGCAGGTGCTTTTTCCTTGAGGACCTTGAGTATTTCCCTTCCCTTGAGTATTTCATTAATTTAAAAAATCGTTTCCCCTAGCCAGTCTGGTTGTCTCTAATGCCCATGTATAACAGTCACCGTTTTCTAATAACTCCTGCACTACAGGTACTGTGTAGATTCCTAACACGCTTCGCCCTTTACCTTCACCTAACAGTAGAGATGTGTGAATTCTCACTTCACTGGTAAGAAGACAGTCACTGTCTATATTATGACTGAAACCCAGTCACAAACAACTTTGTAACTCTGTATCTCACAGTGATTCAATTGTTTTTAATTTTTTTTTAAGCAACAGGCACATGTTGGTCAAGTGCCTGACCAAGGACGCCTGACCAGTGAGGGCTATTGCTGGGGTTTGATTTGGAATCTGACTGGGAAGTCTGTTCTCTCCACCTTCTGTGTCTCCTCCCAGATAGAAACCCAGACTTGCTGCCCTCGTGCAGCAGTGGCACAGTCCCTCCCTGCTCCAATCCCTGTTGGCCCTGGGTCCCCTACTTCCAGACTTGAAGGGGTGCTCTTTCTATTTATTTGTCTTGACCGGGAGCGGCCATTCCCATGGTCCTGGGGATCATGGAGTGCAGGGACTGATTCCTTCATGCAGAATGTTAGCTCTGGGCCTTTGTGCCAAATCCCCACCTCAGAATGTTGCTCCTTGTAACTGTTTTCTGCATTGCAGCATAAGATTTCTCTCAAGCTTCCTTGCTTGTCAAGCCAGAGAAAGCAGTTTTTCTTCCTGAAAAGTTTTGTTTTGTTTTAATCTACATACATACCTGTTTATTTCTTTTCCCACGATGTCAAAGATCAAACTCTGAGGAGGGCTTCTGATGAATTTGCTGCATGTCTGCAGAGTAAGGAATTATGCGCTTTGCCATGATTATCTTGTTCTAGCTGCCGGAGGCCAAGGAAGGGAAATCTGAAGTGCCACCAGCTAGTGAGCTGCAGCCCAGTGAGAAGGAGCCAGCCAGTGGCAGGTGAGGCATGTCCTTCCACTTCGGCTACTCGAGGTGGCTCCAAGTTCAAGTTGACTTGAGCAACTTTAATCCTTAGTTGAAAGTCACTCTCACCTAAGAAGACCTAAGGAAATTCATGGCAGTAAGGCATTCTTTCACGTCAGTCGTGGCTGATAACATCTGCTTTTCTAAGACTGGTTTTCAGCAGATAGGAGTAAGGCTTACCGAGCACTGTGCTCCCATCCCAGAAACGCCCTCTCAGGTGCCCAAACGGAGGCCTTGGGGAGGGGGAGAGGGCCCTCGAGGCACACACATGTGTGCAGTTCCTATGCTCTGTTTCCCACTGTGTGCTCTCCCTGCTCTCCACTGTGTGCTGTTCCTGTGCTCTCACTTCCCCGCTGTCAGGCTCACAGGGGAGAGACTATGAAGGATATCAGAGACGGGAGTGGGATTTCTTCTGGGTTAAAGTAGCTTGAGAGGAGCAGAGTGTCCTTATTTTACTGGGCACCGTAAATAGCCAGACTTTAGCTGAGGAAGCGAGTGTCCTGTCAGAGCAGGTATAGCCTGGAGCTGAGCCTCGGTGATGGTTCTCATCGGACCTAAGCTGCTGCCTCTTCAGTCACTGATTCTGTGTTGAATAGGCCAGCCGAGGATGACTCATCAAGTGACGACGGCTCACAGGAACTGGAAGAATCCATCAAAGTGGACCCTGCACCCACTGAGCCCCCGAGTCACAGCAGTGCCACCTCCTATAAGAAGTCACTGCGACTCTCGTCAGAGCAGATCGTGAGTCTCTGTGCATGTGCTTCCCCAGCTGTGTGTGGCCTTGTCTTCTCATCACGGACTATTGTCCGCACCCAGGAGCACTGGGGTCACCTGAGCACAGGCACTCAGACCTCCTGCCTCGGTCTTCGGGAGTGAACTGAAGAAATGGGTCTTATCCCCCTGGTCCCTGAGGACTCTTACACTGCTGTCCCAGCCCCAGCCCCTGGCTATCTCGGGGATCCACTCGAGAGAACAGACATTGTCTCACTTTCCTGTTGATTGCCCACTCCCTGGTTTTCCCCCTTTATCCATGTGAGTTGGTCTTGAAGGGGGAGCAGGGAGATTGTGTGAAGGGGCGCAGGTCAAAGACTTTCTCAGCACAGCTGAGCCCGGCCGACACTGGCCGATAAGGCCAAGACTGCACTGCGCTGGGCTGCGTGGGCCCTGGGACACGCTTCCAGTGTGTGAATTTTCTCACACTGCCACCCTCTGTTTCCAGCTGCTTTGCTTTGCTTTTAGTCTAAGTTATGTTTATATAATTCTTCCCATTCTCTGTGCGTTCACTCAGATATTAGATTTCAGCTTCGGAGCCTTTTTACTTCATGTTACATCGTTAACAGCATCTCAGTTACTGCATATTATTGGGAAGTGTGACTTTTAATTGTGCATATAATTCATCAGGGATGGGCCATTCAATTTCAAACCTCTCCCTCAAGTGTTTTTCCTCTTTATCATACTACAAAAGGCAAAACTGAAACTGCAGGATGGACCCAATGATGTTGTATTTAGTATCACAACCCAGTATCAAGGTACCTGCCGCTGTGCTGGCACCATTTACCTGTGGAACTGGAATGACAAGATCATCATTTCCGACATCGATGGGACAATTACCAAGTAAGCAGGAGCTCATGAACACTTGCCTTGGCCACCAATGAGTCTTTCTCAGAAACTCCCATCCGTAAAAGGATGGAGTAGATGAGTGCAGCTTTACAAGTATAAAGTCAAAAATAACTTTCGGAAAAACCTAGTTACTTAACCACCAACTTCTGATGTTTGAAAACAAAGCTGTGGAGAGTAGGGAGGGGAACAGGGTGATGGGGATTGAATTCTCTCTGGAATGCTCATCTGGCTCCTGCCACCGCATCACTGTGGCACAGGCCCTGGTGAAATGGCTTCATAGAGCCTCCCTGTCCCTCCTCCATTTTGGGCAGCTGGTGTTTAACCAGATAGGAAACACTTGGCTTCATGTGCTTATTTCCTGATGCCTTTTCCTATTTCTGCCCCTCAGGTCTGATGCTCTGGGACAGATTCTTCCCCAGCTGGGTAAAGACTGGACTCATCAGGGAATCGCAAAGCTCTACCATTCCATCAATGAGTAGGTATCTGGCTGTCCTGTGCGTGTGACCTGGCCCTTCTAGATCCTCTTCCCCATCCCTTTGGAGCTTCACACAAAGAAAAGTGCAGCCGCTGTTAGGAAAGCAGACTGTGTGCCTGGCATTGCCATGTTTGTGTTTCTTTATATGGGTAGTACATGGCATGCCTGATGGAAAACAGTGCTGTGAAACATACAAGCCCAAGTGAATTGCCGAATTTCATTAAGCATTAGTTGAGAATGACATTGTACGAAAATGGTCAGTTACCCAAGTATAATTTTTTTCTTTTCTTTTTGGGCCACACCCGATGATGCTCAGGGGTTACTCCTGACTCTGCACTCAGGAATCACTCCTGGTAGTGCTTGGGGGACCATATAGGATGCCAGGAATCGAACCCAGGTCGGCCGCGTGCAAGGCAAACATCCTCCCCACTGTGCTGTCGCTCCGGCCCCCCAAGTATAATTTTGCTCCAGTTTTACAGAACAATCTCTAGTCTTCAGACCCTTTTTATAATATATTTCCTTTGTAGGAGGTAATTTAAAGGAGGTTCAGGATCCTTTTATTGTGGGGATGGGGAATATGTTCTTTACTATGACTTTATGAACTCTATCCTAAAAGTATATCAAAACTTCCACATTTAGAATAATCTGTAGTTGTGTAAACCCCCAGTTTCCCCATGATATTTTTCCATGGAAGGTGAGTTCTATTTCAGTTTTTCTGTTAAATTCAAAAAAATTTTTTATAGAAAATGATAGAAAATATATTTGGATCTTTTCAAAGAAAAATGCCCCATTTTCCCTTCAGCCACACGGTGTTGGAGTGTGGCACAGCAGTAGAGCACCCGTGTGATGCCCCAGGTTCCATCTCCAGAACTTAAACTCTAAGTGGGACCAGAGTAATCGTACAGCAGGCAGAGTGCTTGCTTCTCGTGCTTGCACAATCCCCAGCATCACATATGGTCCCCCAGAGCCCACCAGGAGTAATCCCTGAGTGCTGAGCCAGGAGGGATCCTTGAGCAAAACCAGTTGTGGCCCAAAAAACAAAATGAAACGAAGGCACCTGGACAGAAGATGTGTTCTCTTTTAGAAATGGCTACAAGTTTCTGTACTGCTCTGCCCGTGCCATCGGCATGGCCGACATGACACGGGGCTACCTTCACTGGGTCAACGACAAGGGCACCATCCTGCCCCGAGGCCCCCTGATGCTGTCGCCCAGCAGCCTGTTTTCTGCCTTCCACAGGTATGTGTGGTGGATACTGGGATGGGGCGCAGGTACAGATTCATCAGGGGTTTGTGTCTCTCAGCGCCTTACCGGGCCTGTGTCAGACATAGTGAAAATAAAGCACGATGTGTAACTCTTCTCCTTCCCTAAATCCTGTCACTCACAGTTTTCTAGTTACCAGGTTGGCCAAGAAGGAGAAAGAAATACAGCCAGCTCGCAAGAAGTCATTTTGTGTTTGTTTTTAATTAGGGTGCTTATGAGTATTAAAATGTTTGCAGGAATCACATACTCTAAAGGAAAGAGAGAGCAAAAGGGAATGCCCTGCCGCAGAGGCAGGGTGGGGGGAGGATGGGGTTGGGAGTGGGAGGGTTACTGGGAACATTGGTGGTAGAGAATGGGCACTGGTGGAGAGATGGGTACTTGATCATTGTATAACCCAAGCACGAAAGTTTGTAAGTCTACAACTGTACCCCATGGTGTTTCAGTAATAAAAATTAAATTTAAAAAAAGTTTGAGGCATACCAAACCAGGTAGATGAAACAGAACTTTTCAAGTGACAAACATTCTTTTGAAAGTGAAAATAAAATCACAATTCTAATTTAAAAAAAAAAAAAAGTTTGCAGGACCATGCAGCAGGGAAAACCCTTTATTTTTAATTTGGTGATTGTATTCCCCCCTCCCCCCCTAGGGAAGTGATAGAAAAGAAGCCAGAGAAGTTCAAAATTGAGTGTCTGAATGATATCAAGAATCTTTTTGTCCCGTCCAAGCAGCCCTTCTATGCTGCCTTTGGAAACCGTCCAAATGTAAGTGTCTTCACACATTCTGACATGCGCGAGACTCAGAAAGGCACTTCTGACGGGGCTGCGCACCAGCAGCCTGATAGACAAAACTAGGGTTCTGCTAAGTCATTTTTCACTTTATTCCAAGTATCAGTAGCAATCAGGGGAATCCTTGAGGGTGGGTCAGAATATTGGCATGAGGAAAGAGCCCTCTGTTCCCACTGCTCCAACTCTGTCTCTCCAGATGGTTCTGTCCTGGCTCTTAGACAGTTCTGAGAATGCGTGTTCTAAGCAGTTCAAAGCGGTGTCCCAGCATTCACCCAGGAGCCCAAGTGCTCCCCCCTGACCAGTGCTCCCCACTTGCTCTCCCAGAGGAGCCACTGAAGCTCCAAAGGTGCTGCCCACTGACCCCTGATGAGCAGGGGGGCCTGAGCACACTCCAGGGCTTCCCGTACCTCTGTCATTCCTCTGGCTCACCAGGGGCCCGAGAAGCATTTTGCAGTGCTCGTGACCTAATGGCTGCTGCCTGGTCCCTTCTGTTTCAGGATGTGTACGCTTATACACAGGTTGGGGTTCCAGACTGCAGAATATTCACCGTGAACCCCAAGGGTGAATTAATCCAAGAAAGGACGAAAGGAAACAAATCATCGTAAGTGCATCCTCCTTTCCCAGTCGGCGTGGACAGACTGGGAGGCTCCTGCCTTTGGAGACCCCTTTGCCTGGAGTCTCCCCCCGGCAGGCTCGCAGGCCATTGTAGCCCGGGCGGGGGGCAGGGGGCCAGGCTGTGCCAGGGAAAGGCCCGCTGCTCTGGTCCCCGCAGCCTGTGTGCAGAGACACAGCTCGTGGTCTCTCCCCGGCCCCCCTAGGTACCACCGACTGAGCGAGCTTGTGGAGCACGTCTTCCCGCTGCTCAACAAGGAGCAGAATTCTGCCTTCCCGTGCCCTGAGTTCAGCTCCTTCTGCTACTGGCGGGAGCCCATCCCCAAAGTGGACCTGTACGACCTGGCTTGAGGCACAGCAGCTCCGTGAGGTGCTGGGTCACCCGTCCCACCACAGGGAAGAGGACTGACACTTCTGCTGGACAGAGGACTGGACGCACGCTGACACCCTGGCACCAGCTTGGTGGGGGCAGGAACAGGGCCAGCTCCTGGATTGGAAGCCGCCACATCCCTCTTCTTTCCAGCTCTGCAGCTTGGTTGGGGTCCGCGGCTCGGGGCCTGCAGGGACAGCGTGGGGAGCTTGTGTGCCGGGTGCTCCTTGAATTGCGTGCTTGAAAAGGATGGAACAGGAAATCATGCATGGGCCAAAGCAGTGCACCGAGTAAAGTGTTCTTTCCACTGGGCAGTTGAGAGTATTTCTCTCGGAAACCCGGCCTTCCTTCAGGAGGGTGCTGTCCACGGAACTGCGCTGCACTGGCCAGCGGCAGGTTCACACCCCCTGCGCACGGTTCTCTGTGGCCTCCCCTGCCACCCTAAAATGGGACGCTGACCCCCAGGGTTGCTGGCCCCAGCCCCTTCGGCTGTGGCCTTCTCTGACTATGCACTGCTGGAGGCCCTTCTTGGATGTAGTTGGCAGGAACAGATCTTACAGGGTAACCGTGATGTCCGAGGGGCCAGTTCTAGCCGCCGGCTAAACCACAGCACAAGATTGTGCTTTCAGGGGAGCCAGGGAAATGCTGGTGGGCAGTTGAGTCCTAGAAGAGTCTTTCTCTGACCCCTGCCTGCCACTCATTGTCCCTACCTGATGATCGGCCAGCTGCACGCAGCCGCAGACAGCACTGGGGCAGGCTGTGGCCTCTAGGCCCTCCAGGGTATTGAGAACCAGGAATTCCAGGCCAGGTGTTGATGGCCACCTGGGCAGAGAGGTTGGAGGCTGCCAGAGGACCACAGATGACCAGGCTTAGGTCTTCAATGTGGGGAGAGAGGGGAGAACCAGGCTTCAGCTATGGCCCACACTTTGGAGCATTCCCCCTCCCCTCTGCCTTCCTCTCCGTGCACGGGGGCCCGTCTCATGCTGTCAGGTGCCCCCCAGCCCCCTGAGAAGCCAGCAGTTGGGAGTGGTGATTGTTGCAGTCAAGAGTGCTAGAGACCCCACACGTTTCTGGGAGTCAGGGGAGGATCAGTTTCTAAAAGCTTCTTCCAGGGCAGTGGTGGGAAGTGCCCCGAGGGGACCTAGCAGGCACCTTGTCTCAGGGCCCCCAGTGCACCTGAACTTCCTGTGCTCCACCCCAGTGTCGCCGCTGGGCTCCTGACCTCTGTATCACGGGAGGTACTCTCCATACCCTGCTCCCTTTTAGGTGTCCTCTGGAGGGTCTCACTCACTTCTTTCTTGTTCTTGATGAACTCTTCTCCCCAGCCTGGTGACCCCGGTTGCCTAAGCCCGAATCATGGGACCCCAACCTTTGTCCCTATGTCCAGAAGCACTATCCTGTGTCATTTTGTCTCTGCACATTGATCCAGTGGGTACATATGCTAATTAACATGAATCGTTTTCCTTATTTAAAGGAGTTCCTCTTGCTGAAAGTAGATGATTACTATTACTATAGTGTTATGAAAGTATTGTTTGTGCTGAAAATTCATTGCCATTTGGTACAAATGACGTTTGTTCTTTCTGTGAAAGAGAGATGACCGTGAGTGTGTTTGTACACAGACCCTCCCGGCAGCCAGCTCGGAAGAGGAAGCCTGTGCTCTGGGCGCCAGGCACGAGGGCAAGCAGAGCAGGCTCTGGAAGGTGTTCTCCCCATGCCGTGTCCCACATTCCAGTGCCCCCTCCTGACTTTACCATGTGCCTCCATGTCCGTGCTCCGGGCTTTGCAGCTGGGGGGTCAGCACACACACACTCAGCCCGTGTAAGCGCTGCATCAGTTGAGCTAAGAGACATCCGTGTAGCTCTCAGAAACTCACTTGAGTTCTGGCCTCAGAGCTGCCAGCAAACCACACAGGATGTGCATGGCCCTAAGGATGTGTCCAAGAAGGTGCAGGCAAGGCCTTTAAAAAGTAGGTAGAAAGTCCATGCTTTCTTGTTCTGCAAGTTGGCCAGAAGAGAATGCTGCAGGGAGCTCCGTCTGCCTTGCCCGGTGTCACCCTGGGCTCCCTGGGACGCTGTTTCACCCAGCTCAGCACTCTCAGTTTGATGGAGTTTTTCTTTAAGTGCTCTCTCCAGGTGGAAATGACTTTTTGAAGGGTTTGTTTCAGTGAGAAATGGAGTGGGGAACTTTGCTCTTTTAATTTAATGATTACAGTCTTTGATGAAGTATTTGATTATTAGCAACCTCACTAATAAGTTTTAAGTTGTCAGAAATTAATTGTAACACCGGTTCAATACTCTTAGTTATGGCAGAGACGGTTGTCTTAAAATGAATGGTTCATTTTTTGGTGCAGTGTTTGATGTTCAAAACAAAATGTTACAACAATAAATAAACATAAAGCAACACTTTATGTTTGACTCTTTCCTTCAGATATTATAAAACCATCCTCTCTGTACTCTTGCCAGAAAGGGATCATTTCCATAAATTAGCATTTTGACTCACTGCTGACACTCAGATCTATGTTGAGATAGTATTTCTTTCGGGGCTTCATTTTCTAAAACCTGACTCTGAAAGTGAGACTCCACCAACAGGATGTGACCTCTCTCACTTTGTAGGTTCTGCCAGGGAATGATTCATTCATACATATGTGATTTCTAATATTTTTCTCACTAGTCTCTGGGCTTACTTACTCCCACCCAGGGTCCTCTGAGAACCCTGTTCAGAGCCCTCATCACCCCATCTTTCATAAGACCCTTCCCCAGGGGGAACAGGACTTACCAGTCTCCATGTTTTCACCAGCCTAGAAAAGATAGTGCGATCTTGGATCAAAAGCCATATTCCATAAAAGAGCTGGGGGAAGTGTCCTGCCCTCACTGCCTCCCTCTAAGTCTCTGGGCCAGCAGCTGTGACCTGTGTTGGATGTGGAAGAGGCTGATTCCAGGGCTGCGGGCCAAGACAGGGCTGCAGGGAGGTCTGAGCTCCAGGCCTTTAGGGTGAAATGAGCAGTAGGCAGAGCTATGGCAGGGAGGTGCCTAGGAAGGAAATGGTTTTCACTGCAAATGGGTTTCTGCAGGAAAAAGTTGGGGTCATTGGCGGGGTTTCCTCCCTGCTCTGAGGGCCCAGCTCGGCCAGTGTCTTCCTGCTACGCAGCACCCCTAACTTTGCAGATATTCTTCCTCCTGCCCACTGATAAAATGGTACAGGAGAAATATGTGTTTGAGAAAGAGGTGTGTGTGTGTGTGTGTGTGTGTGTGTGTGTGTGTGTGTGTGTGTGTGTGTTACTGGTGTTTCCACACCAGCAAGGAAGGACTTGGGTGTGTCTCTGGTCACACAACTCCTTCACACTGCAAGGAACTGTTCCAATGATGAATGTGCTTAAATAGGAATAATTCCAAGTACGATATATACTAATCTGCCTTCTATAATGTTGCTGCATTTCTTGCTGTTCTTAGTCATTTAAGTGAGACTGTTTGCTAACACTGTATGTGAGGGAAATTTTCTGGTCCTGTCTGCTTAGAAACCACCCTGACTTTCTAAGCAACCCTTCCAGATTTCACAGTTGTGACCTGGCGCCTGGGCTTGGTTCATAACCTGGTCTCAGCGTGCGTTGGAGCGTCTTGACTGTGTGAACAGAGCTCCGCTGACCTTGTGTTTTTCTGCCTGTGCCAGAGACGCCTCTCTCCTTAGAACACTGTCCCCAAGGAGGCTGAAGTGGAAGCAGGGCCCTAGAGGGAGTCCAGATCCACTAAGAGGACCAGGTTTTGGTGTTTTGGAATGTCCAGGAATGGGTGCAGGGTTGAGAGGATTAATGACCTACCTTTGCGGCTGTTGAGCGTGAATCTGTCCCCTTGGCCCTGAGTCTAGTAGGGAGGGATTGTGGGGGGATGAGGGTTCTGTGACAGTGCACTGCTGCACTGGGCTGGCCCTGTGTCATTCCCAACCAGCTCCCAGCTGGGGAAGTGGAGTTGCAATGTCAGTCCCTGTCCCTGCTGTACAGAAAGGCCTGGATGCTCAAGCACCACAAAGCTCCCAAGCTGGGAGGAGCAGGTGCCACCTCGCTGAGAGGCTCCCCCTAAAGTGCTCGGTGCATTTGCAAACTGACTTGGAGATTAAAAAGATTGAGTCATTTTTGTGCCAGCAGACCTTGTTTTTACCAACTATCTGTTCCAAGACTGTCACTGTCACCGTCCTCTCATTGTTCATCGATTTGCTCGAGCAGGCCCAGTAATGTCTCCATTGTGACAGTTATTACTGTGTTTGGCATATCGAATACGTCACGGGTAGCTTGCCAGGCTTTGCCTTGTGGGCTGGATACTCTCGGTAGCTTGCCGGGCTTTCCGAGAGGGGCGGAGGTTCCAAGACTAGGGGACTTGAAATCTTTCCCCCCTATGGCCCTGCCAGCCAATAGATCCAATTAACCCAATGTGTGTGGAGCCGGGCCCTGCATAGACCGCGACCGGGAAGAGGAAACAGCTTCTGTGAGAGCGGGCCCGGAGCTCACTCCCAGGAAGGGCTGCTGTGCCTGGTGCTGCATGAGCAGCGTTAAAGTGGCCGTGTGGCTGGGAACTGGCGTGTTCTTAGGGCCGCACCTGCAGTGAGCCAGCCCCCAACTGCCTCCCGTACCTGTGCAGCAGCTGGAAGGTGGGGTCTCCAGCAGGCCAGGAAGGGGCACCACTTCAGCTGCAGGATTATATGGGGGTCTTGACCCCCCACCCAGGAGGACAAATTGTGTCTTTACAAACCAGAACCAAATGAAACGCAAGTGCCCAGCTTGGATGCTGAGGGATGGTTTAGACCAATATAGAAGAACATTCTACCCCTGCAGACCTGCAACTATCAACCAGTAGTTTAGATTAATGACAACACTTCACTGTCTTTCTAGACAGTTTAAAGTCAACTACCAAGGGCAGAGAGATAGGGCAGCAAATTGAGCATTGGTCTCGTGTGTCTATGTCCCCATGTCCCACCAAGATTGATTCCTATTGCAAACCATGAGGTCCAAAAGGGGAGAGAAAGAGGGAAGGAGGGAGAAAAAGAGAGAAACCTTCCATAGAGGCAAGGGGAGTTGAGGGGGGACTGGGACCATTGGTGGTGAGAAATGTGCCCTGGTGAAGGGACAGGTGTTAGGACATTGTATGACTGATACCCAGTCATGAACAATTTTGTGAATGTGTTTATCACTGTGATTCAATTTTTTAAAAAAATTTTTTTTAATTTTAATTTACTAAGTGATTAAGTGATTAATTTACTCAGGAATAAGCCATGAGCATCACCAGGCATGGACCAAAAATAAAGTCAATTACTTTTCTACGGGCTGGAGCAATAGCACAGTGGGTAGGGCACTTGCCTTGCACACAGCCAATCCAAGTTCGATTCCTCCACCCCTCTCGGAGTGCCCGGCAAGCTACCGAGAGTATCTTGCTCAAACGGCAAAGCCTGGCAAGCTACCCGTGATGTATTCGATATGCCAAAAACAGTAGCAACAAACTCTTAACAATTTGTTGTGAGACGTTACTGGTGCCTGCTTGAGCAAATCGATGAACGACGGGAGGACAGTGCTACTTTTCTACCGCTGGCCAGGGCAGGGAAGAGAAGTGTTTGGGGTTTGGGCTATACCTGATGGTGCTCCATGAACCCTATTTGCTGGGACCAAACAAGGCAAACGCTCTCCCCCCTCTGTTCTTGCCACAACTGGCTTGTTCGGGGTTTTGTTTGGGGCCACACCCATGGCCGACTGTCTCTGCCCTCAGAGCTCACTCTGGGGACCATATGGGGTTCTGGTTTTGAAACCTAGGTTGACCGCGTGTGCAAGGCAAGCACTGCAGCCTTCAGTGAGCTTTTTGAGGGCAGTCTCGATCCATGAGGCAGCAGACATAGCCACACAAAGTGGTTTTATATCTTTATTGACACTCCCCGTCTTTGCACTTGATTTGCGCATGTCATTCAAGGAGCCCAACCAGCAGCCGTCTCACAATCCCCTCAGAGCCGGCCTGGGGTCACCCACCCAGGACAGCCTGGGCTTGTCCTTGTGGGTGCGGTGGCACTTCAGTGTTTAAACTTGTCCCCTGCGTGCAGTGTAAGTGGAACAGACCCTTGCCATGGCTGTGCCCTCCGGTAGACTATAGGCAGGAACGGATGTGACCCCCCCCCCGCCCCCCAGCCCACTAGGCCAGTGTCCCCTCCCTTCCCCGGCCCTGGCCCCCAGGCCAGCTCCCAGGCCAGGGCCACTCTGGCTCTTCTGTGTGGCCGGCTGGGGCTCAGCGGTCAGCTCAGGCCTTTCCGTCTTAGGGGCGGGCTGGGTTGTCTGCCCGAAGCTAGACCAGTGCTCCAGTTATCTCCATGATGGGAATATATTAAAGCTTCTGCATTCTGCCAGCTGCCTAGAGGTGGGGAAGGGAAGGGTACAGGAAGACCCCGCTGAACGTGGAATACATTTCATCGAAGTCTGTGTGGGCCAGCCTGCCCCCGGTCACCACGATGTTGACGCCATCTCCTGCCTTCAAGTGCACGATCAGGTGGAAGGCCCCAGGGCCCCCACAAGTGTGCGGAGCCCCAGGAGGGCGGTGGTACTCCAGGAACTCTCTCCTGTAGCCGGCCGTGTGCAGCTGGGCCACGCTGGCATTGGAGACAGACAGCACGGCCTCCACATAGGTGTCCCTCTCGGGCGTGAGGGTGGCCGTGATCAGGTAGCGTCCGTCAAACGGAGCTGTGAAGACCCCTGGAGAGGGAGCAAGAACCGGGCCCCCCGATGTGAGCCCTCAGCGTTTGGTCCAGAGGGCCACACCTTGCCCAGAAGAGATGGGGGTGGGAGGGGGGGAGTTCGAGGTGGGGTGGAGGGGGTGAAGAGGGGCATCAGTGCCTTGAGAGGCACACAGGGGCGGGCAGCAGTTCTTTGTCACTTTGTATTTAATTGGGTGGTTTGAACCTCCCAGCAGCTCAGGAAGCCAAACAGGCCAGTTGGTCAGTGCATGAGTCTGCACATGGGGTCCTGGGGACTCTCCAGAGTGGAATGCTCAGGGCACCCAGGCTGCGCCAGCAATGTTTGAGAACCATATGCAGAGCCAGGGATCAAGCCAGGGTTGGCCACATGCCAGGCATGAGCCTTCGCCCCTGGCAGCCTCTTGCATACTATATTTGCTTGCCCTGCTCATGGCCAAGAGCTTACCTACTCTAAGCTGCACTGCCTTAGGCTGGGCAAAGCCGCAGGACCCCTGTGTCACCAGCAACTCAGCACACAACACCACTCCAGAAACGCTGAGCCCTTTGGGTCCTCTGCACAGGGACAGCACGTGGACCCCAGGCCCTGCCTAGACCTGCTCCCACACCACCTGCTGCAGGTAAAATAAAGCCTGCCTTGCGGGGGGGGGGGGGGGGGGGGGGGGGGGAACGTTCCCCACCCTGAGTAGCATCGAAGCATCTCTCAGCCACTTGGGAATCAGCCTCGGGGCTACAGAACACAATCCCCAGGAGCTATGGAGCTGCCCCAGGGCCAGGGAGTGTGTCGGTCGCCAGGTGACAGGAGACTGGAGCTCCTGGCCAGCGCTCACAAGCCCCAGCCCTGGACCTGTCCTATAGGAGGCATCACCAGAAGCCAACTGAGTCTCATTTAACCAGTGAATGGAGTTCCAGGGCAGGGAGATGTTAGCTCTGAGATGTGCCTTTTGCAAAGCAGCAGTCAGTGGCCCCCAGCTGGGAGTGGAAGAGAGTTCCTGCTCACTGTGGAAAGCCCAGGGTTCATCCCCATTCTAGCTCAGCACAGGCAGACACTGCCCATGAGTGCATGGAGGGGGAGCTGGGCACTGAGCACAGCCCCGGAACTAGAGTGAGTGTCAGGGGGCAAGGAGGGGTCTCCGAAACAGAACACCAGGCCACCCTGCTCTTGATGGTGGCCCCGACCCCAAGAGCGGAAGGGAAGTAAATAAGGGCCGTCCTGGAGCAGAAACCCAAGAACAAGAGACCCCTGAAGCTGCAGGAGCCAGGATGGAGGCCAAGCTGCGGTCAGCACGCACGGCTGTACTGAGCAGGAATGGGATTCAGCCAGGCAAGGGCTCAGCAGGGAAGCACTGAGGGTGGGGGCCAGGCTCCCCAAGATCAAGACCTGTGCATGACTGGAGTATCTTGTCAGTCTTCCCTGGGGGTCTCCACTCCTCAGGAGCGCACCTGCCCGGGCCCTCTTACTCAGTCCCAGACTGCCAAAGCAGCCCCCCCTTTCCCCCGCCATGTTCATGGGCCTGACCCTCGGGACTCTGCACACAGGAGTCCGGGTTAGATGCCCAGCCCTGTGGCACGTGGGGACCCCTGGTCTGCACGGGCTGCCGGGAAGGACGCGCTTTCCATCACCACCATCCCCCACCATGTGGTTGGGGGGAGAAAGCGGGCCGCAGCCCATGGGGCTCTCCCTTTCCCTGCATGCTGCTCCCCTGAACCCCAGGATACTGAAGGAGACAGGGTAGGGGTGGCCTGACCTGGCATCAGGATGACAAACGCTGAGAAACAGAGGTGCTGAGTGGCCGGGGAATGGGCGGGGGGAGGGGGGGGAGGCCAAGTGGGCGCTGCAGAGCCTAACAGCCTCCATGGGAACAGGCAGTGACAGCCGGAAGCTTTCATGACCCCCACCCCCAAGGTAGCACAGGCCTCCCTGCTTTTGACAGTGACCTGACACGTCAGAGCGAGCCCGTGTCACCACCGCCTTCCAGCTGGAAGCTGCTTCCTGAGCCCCCGAAAAGGAGCACGCCCAGGCCAGAGCTCCCGGGAGGGACAGCGGCCAGGGAGATGGGAAGGCACTGCCCGGTCCCACCCCCGGCACTACACAAGGCCCCGACCTGCCTGGAGTGAGCCCTGAGCACCGCCTCGCCAGGCAGGAGTGAGCTCGGCCCCCAGCTCACCTGTGTCAGGGTTGTACATGTCGCCGTCGTTCACAAGCACCTTGTTAAAGAGAACGACGCCTGCCTCACTGGGGAAGGGCTTCTGGGTCAGGCCAGCTGAGAAGGCGACTGCAGAAGGTTCTGGAAGGCCTGGAGTGAAGAGAAAAGCAGAGTGGCCACAAGCGCCAGGCCTGGCAGCCTCACGCTTTCAGCCTCCTTCATGCCGTGCGGCCCAAGCTGGGGTGTGAGCAGACTGGGGCGGGTCTCGGTCAGTGCGGGGACAGTGGGGGGTTGGGGCGCCCCCAAGAAGCTGGCGAGGCTGCACTGGGCAGAGTCCCGAGGGAATTCCCCATGCGCGGGGATGACAGGCAGAGAATGACACTGGCCCCGAGGGGGGACTTCTTGGGCTTTGTCCACTGCAGAGGCTGGGTCCCAGGGCCCATCTCCTCCCACGCACAGGATGGTGGAGGGGTCCCACCTGGTGAGGTCCCACCTGGTCCCACCTCACATACCTGGTGAGGCCATGGGTGGCGACTTGGGGTACCCTGAAAGATGAAAGGAGGGCAGATGTCAGCGTACTGCTGAGTCCTCATTTCTCCCTGCTCTGACGAAGACTCGGCGAGGGCCGGAAGCTCACGCTGGGTAACTGCACAGGTTTTGCACACCGGAGTCCTGGGTTTGATGCCCAAGCACCACAGTGTCTGCACCCTCCCCCACCCCCGCCCAATAAAAACAAACCAGAAAGCAAACTCAGAAGCACAGGCTTGGCACTGGGCTGCCCTCCTCTGCCTGCCTCCACAGAGCCCCTTCCCTGAACAAGGGTGGATGCCCAGGTGCCAGTTCAGGCCAGGAAAGAGGAGAGAGACAGGGATCTGGGTGGGAGGGCTGAGCCCCTCTCCGTGCTGTGCGCTTCAGGCTGTGCGTGCAGCCACTCGGGAGGTGGTAAGCTGCGTGGCACTGGGAGGGGAGGAGGCCTGTCTGGGGGGCCCGGGCATACACAGGCCCGCAGAGGAGTGGCAGGACCCTCAGCATCCTCAGACAGCCTCAGAGAGAGGGGGAGCGGGCAGAGAACCTAGCTACCTGCTGTTTGGAGGCTGGCATGAGGGATGTGCCAGGTGCTTGAGCACCGCCCACATGAGTCTGGGCACTGGCTCCCTGGCAGTGGGTAGCTGGCATCGCAGGCGCTGGGCAGTGCCACTTGGCTTTTATGCCACTTGGCTGCTGGGTTTGGGTTTTTCTGGCCCTTGCTTGATGGTGCTCAGCACTTTGCTCCTGGCACGCCCAGGGACCATCTACGGGGGCAGGGCTCTGTGAGCAAAGCCAGTGTGCAACCCACTGCACTGCCTCTGGCGTCCACGGGTTTATATGACTCAGCCCTGAGCCTCAGTCTCCTCACCTGTAAAGCGGAGCTATTCCCAGCGTTCCTGCTGCCAGGAATGACGAGGAGCGCCTGGGCCCGTCTGGCACAGTAGGACCCCCTCCACCCCTTCGGCCTGTCTCACGCGGAGCCCAGGAGACTGGCCTGGCCGAGACATCTCCCTGGAGCCCTGCTGCCCCTCCCCGCGACCACTGTCTCAGCCCGAGCACTGTCCCCCACACCTGGGTGCAGGCAGGTGCTGGGACTTACCTGGGGCTCCAGCATAGCCCTCTGCGCTGGGGACAGTCCCCTGGCCCGTCTGGCCACCAGTGCCCTGCGGCAGGCCCTTCCCCGACATGCCCATCCTCCCCGGGGGACCGGCCTCTCCCGTCTCCAGGGTGTCCCCCGAGGAGCCAGGCAGGAAGGCCAGCCCAGTCCAGCCAGGCCAGACTGGTGGGGGCAGTGGTCGCGGGGGCCTCCCGGGCTGGGCCGGCTGCTGCCCAGGGGGTAGCTGTTCCTCAGGGTCCTCAGCAGACGGGCTCAGGTTTGGGTGGGCTGGTGTCGTGGAAGTCTCGGGCAGCGCCGGGTCCGGGGGCCTCTTGGAGCCTGGTGGAGACTTCCCTGAAGGCGGCATCTCGGGGTCTTCTGAGGGCTCATCTGCTGCACATTTGGAAAGTGAGAAAGAAGAGAGAGTTAGAGTGCCCAGTTGTGTCCACTGGGCCACAGGTTCCCCCAGAGCTCCCTGGGCGGGGGACCCCGGGTTCAACCCCTCTCAAAGCCCCAGGAGGGGCATGGAAGCCACCACAAAATAAGGTGGCCCAGCTGGGGGCACAGTCCACAGGGAAGTGACCCTCAGACCGCCCCCAGGATTACAGGGAAGGTCAACCAGGCCCAGGACACAAACTTTTCAGTTTCTCTCTCTCTCTCTCTCTCTCTCTCTCTCTCTGCCTGTCTGTCTCTGTCTCTCTGTCTCTGTCTGTCTGACTCTCTGTCTCTCTGTCTTTGTCTCTGTCTGCCTGTCTGCCTGTCTGTCTGCCTGTCTGTCTGTCTGTCTGTCTCTGTCTCTCTGTCTCTCTGTCTCTGTCTGTCTCTGTCTCTCTGTCTCTGTCTCTGTCTCTCTGTCTGCCTGCCTCTCTCTCTCTCTCTCTCTCTCTCTCTCTCTCTCTCTCTCTCTCTCTCTCTCTCTTTGGCTTTTTAGTTCACATCTGGTGATACTCAGGGGTTACTCCTGACTCTGTGCTCAGGGATCATTCTTGACAGTACATGGGGGAACATATAGAATGCCAGGTCAGCTGCACATAAGGCCAGCACCCTTCCCACTGTAAGATCTCTCTTGCCCCTTTCAGCCTCTTTCTGCAGCAGGAGTGGAAGCTTTTTCCTGCCGGAATATTTATAACACCACTCGCTGGCCACACTGACACAAGCCCACAGGTCCAGCACCTATTCCTGTCCCATCAAGTGCCAGGGGCCACTCCACGGGGTTTCCCAAAGATTCCGCTAGCTGCCCAGACAGGAGCAGTCTGGCTCCAGCCCCTGAAACTTCCAGCTGATGACCCAGCCGGTCGCACGTGGCCACAGGGCTGTGGTCAAAAAAACTCATCTGGCCACCGGCCACCGGGGTCGGCCTCACTCCAGGCGCCTGCTGGCTAAGTTCAACACGTCCAGACAGTCCCAATAAACAGCTGTGATACCCCTCTTGCTACGGCCTTGGACCACTGAGCTGTCCACAGGGCAGCTTCTGATGCCCAGGCTTCCCTGTCCTCCCAGGACACAGTGGCTACCTTTCCCTGGGACTTTTCTCCTGGGACAGGAACCCCAGGAGTCCTTCCTGAGGGCCCACATGGCCACCCTCCTCCTCGCCCTGCCAGGCCCAGCTTCCAGAGATACCAACGGGTAACCAGGCAAATCCAGACTGGATGACTCATCATAACTCATTCAGGTTATGACAGTGGGTCCAGGACTCACTCACCACCTCCCAGGGAGCTGGGGCCAGGCCTCAGTGGGCTACCCACTGACCCTTGGGACAATTAGCCTCATGGAGAATGATGCAGGTGATGGCTTCCCAGGCCCCTGAGGGTGGCAGAGTGTGAACGGTATCCTCCATGCAGAAGTTAACTCAGTCTGTACGACAGGACAGCATCAGGACTAAATTCCCTCATTGGAAAGGGAATTTGATAGAGAAACTGAGGCAAAGAGAATAGCAGACCCAGCAGTGGGTGGGAGTGAGTCTGAAATGCTCAGTCTGGGAAAACTGCAGTCGAGTCTGGGGAGGTCGCATAAGGAGCCCTAGCTGCCTCCCCGAAGGTGCTTCCTTAAACCTCAAGTTGGAGGGGCTGGAGCCATAGAACAGCCGGTAGGGCTTGTAAGTGGCCAGCCCTGGATCAATCCTCGGCATCTCATAGAGTCCTCCAAGCCTGCAGGAGAGATTTCTGAATGCAGAGCCAGGAGTCAGCCCTGAGCACCAGGGTGAGGCCCCAAAAAACACTGAAATTGGAGAGGCCAGAGCCACAGTACAGCAGGTAAGGCACTTGCCTTGCATGCAGCGGGCCTGGGTTCAATCCCCGGTATCCCATATCGTTCCCTGAGTGTGGCCAGGAGTGATCCATGAGCACTGTCAGGTGAGGGCCACCCCTTTCAATAGAAAGTTCTCAAGTTGGAGTCAAAAGCATTTTTCATGAAGCCCACAAGCCCTGAAACCCTGATAAAATCCACAATCAGGACCACCTGGCAGATAAGATAAGATAAGATAAGATGGAGCCCACAAAAACAAACATCCAGGAACTTAAATAAATGAACGCAATGTAAGAAAAGAAACACACAATACCACAGAGAAATAAAAGACACTGCATCCAGGGCGAGAAACTAGGTCGCTGTTTAAGGGTAGTTCTGGGCAAAGGATTGAAGCACAGGATTGAAGCACCTTCAAGCAGTACCACAGGCTCCCTGAACACTGCAGGAGCCACGAGGTCTGCTCCCACCCCAAGGAAAAGGGGAGATTCAGAGACTAAGGATGAGATGTGGTGATTGAAAAATGTTTGTCAAAATATGAAAACTTATTGTAAGAGTTGGTAGATAAAAATAAAAGAAATCTTTGCAGAGGTAGAACCAAAGGTAACATTATGGAAAGTAAGAGAGAGACCAGAAGAAAAGTGGAAGGTGAATCCAGAAATCTTCACAGAAAAAAAAAAAAAAGAAAAATTGGGCATTGGCATGGTGAGGTGACAGAGAATTGCGTACACACACACACACACACACACACACACACACACACACACTTCTCAGAATTGAGGGAAAGGTAAATCCCAGTACAATTGTTAAATAAAAGGTCCAAACAAAGGCATATTAAGAACACTACATGTAAAGGGCCTACCAGGAAAAAAAGTTATAAGGGTTCCTGAGTCAGAGGAGCACTGTAGCACTGTCTTTCTGTTGTTCATCGATTTGCTCCAGCGAGCCCAGGAACGTCTCCATTGTGAGTCAGAAGAGCAACACCTTGAATTCTATTCCCCATCAAAGCCTCCCTAATAGGGGCCTAGAATAAGGTCATTCTCAAACATGTGGTGTTCGCTTGCTTGCAACACAGGAATTAAATCCAGTTCCTCTGCATACAAGGCATGCAAGCCATGCGTTCTACCACAGAGCCACATCTTGCCCTGCCACTTGGTTTTTAAATTATATTTATGTGTTTATTTATTTTGGTTGTGGGGCCATACCAAAATAAATAAATAAATAAATATTGGGGTATTCAGGGGTTACTCCTGACTTTGCACTCCAAAGTTACTCCTAGAAGTGCTCTGGGAGGATATGGGACTGTCACTGTCCACTGTCCTTCTGTTGTTCATTGATTTTCTCGAGCGGGACCAGTAACATCTCCATTGTGAGACTTTGTTGTTATGCGTAGCTTGCCAGGCTTTGCCATGCGGGCGAGATACTCTCGTTAGCTTGTCGGGCTCTCTGAGAGGGGGGCGGAGGAACTGAACTCGGGTCGGCCATGTTGGCTGCGTGCAAGGCTAACGCCCTACCCGCTGTGCTATAGCTCCAGCCCAGATATGGGACACCTGGGATCAAACCAGAGTCGGCTGATTGCAAGGCAAATCATCACCCTGCCATCTGTTTATTTCAAATACAATGACCTCTCAGCCATTCTTATTAAAAATATTCTATAAAAAGTATTCCACTGAGAAAAGGGAGTAAACCATGAAAGAAAGAAACATGGAGTTGAAAGAGAGTGGGGTGGAGAGGGAGAGGAAGAGACCAAGAGCGAGAGAGAGAGAGAGAGAGAGAGAGAGAGAGAGAGACATCTCAGATAAGAAGTACTGTGGAACTTCTAGGATGACAGTGAAAACATTTCAGAGTGGAAATTCTGCAGCAAGACCAGCAACAAAAGTCAAGATGGATTAGAAGGAAAGAGAACTCCAGAAGGAAGTGCACTCATTGTTAAAAACGAAAGTAGAGACTGGAGGGATGGGCATTTGATCACTGTATAATTGAAACCCAAGCACAAAATTTGTAAGTCTACAACTGTACCTCATGGTGTCTCACTAATAAAAAATAAATAAATAAATAAATAAATTTTAAAAATCAGGATATCAAGAGAAAAAAAATAAAGTGCTTCTTCTTTACCCCCCCCCCCCAAAAAAAAAAAAGTAGAGACTGGAGAGATAGCGCAGGGATTACGGTCTTGATTTGATCTCAGCACCACATTGAGCACCTTCAGGAATGATCCCTGAGCATAGAGCCAGGAGTAATCACTGAGCACCCCCAAGTGAGACTCAACCCTACTCACACAATGAAAATAACAAGTAAAGTAAAGGCCCTCCCATTGATCATCGATTTGCTCGAGCGGGCCCAGTAACATCTCCGAGAGGGGCGGAGGAATCAAACTCGGGTCAGCCATGTTTGGCTGCGTGCAAGGCAGACGCCCTAGCCGCTGTGCTATCGCTCCAGCCAGTCCCTGGAGCCATAGCACAGTGGTAGGGAGTTCGCCTTACAAGTGGCCAAGATGGCCGACCCGAAAATAACAAATGATAAAGAAAATTGTATCGAGCAGGTAGTGGAGATGGCAAAGTCACAATAGATACCAAAAATTTACAAATAGATGCCACAAACATGACGACTACTGCCAAGAATGACAATAATCATAGAAATCCATTTAGCTCATATTAGTTTAAACACTGCCACTGTTTCATTGCCATGTAACCATGTTCAGAGCCAGGAGAACAGGAGATAGGGGATATGGAAATCAAATAGATAGGTTATAGTCTAGAGTCAATCACATAAAGTGTGAAAACTAGATATAAGATTCATTATGAGTGTCTGAGGCTACGACATTCATTTAGGGCTCTGGAGGGGCAAATTGCTAGAGCTGCTCATGCCTGTCTGCAGAGAGGACAGGGGGCTGCTGCTGGTTTTCATTAGAAACTGCTTTAAAGGTCAAATTCTAGGCCTTGTGGATACTTTCAGCACTTTCCAATGCCAACATGCTTGAGGTTTTTTTAATACATTCTCTCGTCTCTCTCTTCCTCAGAACACTGTAACCCCACACACATTCATACGCACAGACACAGACACACACACTTGTGTTCTCTCTCTCCCTCTCTCTCTCTCTCTCTCTCTCACATACACATATACCTGTGTTCTCTCTCTCTCACACACACACA